GTCGAAGTCGGCGCAAAGTTCTGGGGGGAGTGTGCCCAGGCGGGGGTGCCGGGGAGTGTGTTGAGGAGTGTAGAGGTCCGTAGCTCTTAACCGGGCATATCTTGCGACATTCCGGCGCAGCTTTCCACATCCTCGAGGCAGCTCTTCGAGAGCTAGGGCATGGCTTTCAACACCCCAGGCCCAGACACAGCTTCCAACCGCCCAAGCTCTTTTCCAACAACGCATGCGCAGCTGTCAACAGACCCGGCGCAGCTTTCAACAAGCACAGGCCACAGCATCCAAAGCAGAGCTATCAACAGCCAGGCACAGCAAACAACCGCCAACGGCCATCAACATCCGAAACATCGCTGCCATCAACAGGCGACTTTCAATAGCCAAGGTACCGCAAGCAACAGGCCAATATTCCAGGCTGCAACAGTCCAAGCATCTGTCAACATACCGGGCACGGTTGGTCTGCAAAAACAAATGCATAAAACAAAAAATGCACGAGGTTCCTAGGTCCCCCCACTATGCATTTTCGAGTATAAAAGTATGATCGATTAAATCTGGTTTAAAAGTGCACGAGCTATTCTAGTTAAGCATTGGGCTTTTAGAGCTTTAACAGAAGCATCTGCTATAAATGGCGCCGTCTATAATAAGAGGGCGCAATTACCATAAACGCACGCTGTCAGCATGCTTACTCAACGGCATTCATTAGGGGAATTCGCGTTCTTAAAAAGACTTAGCGTCAAGGAATTCGTCTTCGCAATTTATCTTCGCGGGGGAATTCGTCTTTAGAAGTTCGTCTTTGCAATTCTTCTTCAGGAGGGAATTCGGCTTCGGGGGAAAATTCGGCTTCGGCGAATGAATTCGTCTTCGGGGTGAATTCGGCTTCGAGGGGAATTCGTCTTTGGGAAATTGCCTTCGTAATTCGTCTTCGAGAGGAATTCGGCTTCGGGAAGAAGCTTGGCTCCGGCGAATTCGTCTATGCAACTCATTTTCGGGTTTGTTTTCGTAATTCGTCTTCGCGAAGGAATTCGGCTTCGGGACGGAATTCAGCTTCGGGATTTCGTCTTCGTAACTCGTCTTCGGGTTAGAATTTGTTTTCGGGAATTCGTCTTCGTAATTTGTTTTTGTCTATGGATAAAATCCATATTTAGATCCCGTTAGAGCAGTTAACTAATAACAGTGTACAAACAAATCCCGCTATCCCGCTAAATAAATTTCTTGCCAGAGTAATTTATCGATGAATCCCGTCGATCCCGCCAAAATTGCTTGCCAACGAATATCCCATTAAAACGACTCATCCTATCGAGTATCCCGCTAGAATGGTTCGCCAATGGATCTTGTAAAGGATCCCGCCAAATAACCAGCTTATAAATTGTACCAAATATCCCATTAATCTGCCAATGGATCCCGCCGAATTCCCGTCGTGTATCCCAGAGTAGCTCGCCAATAAATCCCGCCGAATATCCCGCTAGAGTAACTAAATCCCACCGCCGAATATCCTAGAATAACTCACCATAATTATCAGGAACCTTAGTTAGTTAGATTTTTATTAAACATCTAATCAATATCGAGCCGGAATAATTCCCAATATTTGTTAACAAATCCCATATTCATCTGTGTTTATTTAATTAAATTTATATTTCATAGTGTTTCCATCGATTTTATTTTGGAAAAGGTTTAATTTTCAATAACGGAATCAATTTTTTAAATTATCGATATCGATTCACAAAAAATTAAAATACAAATAAATAAGTAAAATTCTCAATACACAATTTATTAATCAATCATAAACAACAAACCTTTCGAAAACCATACTTGCATTCATTCATCTATATGTTTCTTTCTCTATCCCCTCTAATCTATCTTCTTATCTATCTTTCCATCTATCAACACCTCGTTTTCTTGTTCTATCTATATCTATCTCTCAATATCTACCTCTACTAAAATATTTTATTTCTAATAATATTATCGAATCTATTGTGTCTTCAAATATCTCGATTTAAAGATTTGAATTTATAAATATACCATATCTATCCCAAATTTTATATCTATTCTCAAAAAAATATTTTACCATAACATATATCATTAAACTATCATACCTACCATACATATCAAACTTATACATCTCTACATTACCATACCAATACAACCAACACCAAATCCAATCCAAATATACCCTAAATACATACCACAAACTTCAATACACAAAATCCATGTTTTTTTTAACAAATTTCTAAATTCCCATCATAAACACAAATTAATGAATAACCAACAAAACATAAAATGCATATCAATATATACGATTTTTGTATTACAAAAATACCAAACATGATAATCCAACATACAAAATCAATATAAAATAAATCCAAACAAAGCCTTATATATGTCCTTCTCATTTTATAAATCCAATATAATGCGATTCGATATATCATAAAAGCCGAAACCGATAAAACCGCGATAGTTGCTAAAATGCAAAGCGAAATCATCAGAGAGAGGAAAATGAAATCGTTATCAAGGCTATAAAATATGCTTTCCCTGCCGCGTCGAAATCGCCAGAAGAGTGATAAATTTAGAGCGAGCTAATACAAGTATTATGGCGACGCAGACTAAGCATTATAATCTAGCAAGACAATATGCTCAAGTGAAAGAAAGTGATATTAGTATAAAGGTCGAGCGAGGCCTAAGGGCCGGCGATAGACGAGAACATGAAGGTGAAGCTCCACGGCACGACGATAAACACAAAAAAGGCGAGCACGACCAACGCTCAACGCATGGAAGGGGGTCAACGATGGCAAGGTGATGGTTCGGTTCAAACAGATGAAGAAGTGGTTAGAGATCAAACGCTGAGAAGCTGTAGGCATAAGAACAGATATGAACTTATTGGAGACACTAGAAGGTAAAGGGCCTTTCGAAGTGGCCCGGCCCTGCTCCATTTAGACTGGAGCGAGTTGAAGATGTGGATCCCTGAAAGGGCTGGGCAAGACAGACGATAAACTTGTTGGCACTGCGTTAGCAGAATGGGAGGAGCTACCGATGAGGGAATGGAGAACTTTGCGACATCACCGCCGCAGTGCGAATCCAGCTTTGACTCAAGCTGCGGGGAAAAAAACTACAGCTCATGCGACTGTCTCGCGCGCGCGCCAGCTCACGCGACCTGGGCACAAGGGTTACAGCAGTGCAAAGCCACGTCGGGCGGCAGGGGGAGAGGGAGGAAGCAGGGGAGCACAAGAGTGAGCGCCGACAAGGGCACAAAGAGGCTGCAACTGGGTTTGCAAGCGCAGCGCGCGCTGGCGCATACGCAGGTGCGTTCGCGTGCAAACGAGCAGTGCCGGGGCCAGCTGAGGCAGCCGGGCGCATGAGTTACGGACGTGCACAGCAAGCAGGCGCAAAGAAGCCAAGAAGCATGCGCATGCAACCTGCCTACGCGCTTGCGCAAGTTCGAAATAACGAAAGGTGTTTCAAGCCGTCTTAAAGTCTTAAAGCACCCCTGCTTGCGCACTGATTCATACAAAGTGTTTTTGTTGAGAAAGACCACGAAAGTGGATTCGGATATGCAGATCAAATGCCCTGGATATGCGTTTCTGGGTCCAAGGCACGCTTGAGGGGGGTGGACCAGGGGGATTCGAGCCGGGAGAGGGGGGGAGGGAATAGTTTGTTATTCAGATTTTAAAATAGGCCGAGAAACAATAAGTAATAACTATTTCTAAATTCTATAGTTAATAGATGGTGGTGGGAGACTGGGAGGAAATAATCTCATTTGTTGGCCAGTTCTTTCCATTTCAGTCGCTGTTTCGCTCGGGTTCCTTCTCCTTTTCAATTTCTTTCGTCTTGAATAGCGTGACTGACCTTTTGACGTTTGCTGAGACAAAAAAGGGAACTCGCTTTGGGGGGGTTGGGTCGCCCCTGGTTCTTTTGTTTGGCGGCCCTTGCTGCGGCCCGCATTTTGGGAGTGTTTCTTTGGGCCGGCGCTAAGTGACCATCTGAAGACTCTCAAACGAATTTCTCACAAATGAGAATGTGTGAAGTGGGAATGTTCACACAACTCCCTTCACGCCCTTTGAAATCTGGATCTCCCCTCGCTGGTACAGCGCCTTTGGCCTCAAGGTGAGCTCTCCCCGAAAAGGGAAAGCGGGGAGTCGCACGCAGGCTGCGGAGAATTCAGCTTCCCCAAATCTGTCGTTTGGAGCCTGGTGGTGGGGCTAAGTGGCCTCCCACAAGCACCAGGGACCCGTTCAGATCCAAATCCAAACCAATCCAAACCTCCAAATAAGGGTTCCCTGTAAAACCCGCGTGGGCAAAGTCATATTCTTGAGCAAATGGATGCAAATGTCACCCTCGTGAGGCTGGTCCACCGAAATGTTGAACTACCCCTGAATCCCCAAATCCAAACCGAGCATAGGACTGCAAATCCGGACACCAAGAGCGACTCAGAACCGTGCTTAAACATGCTTAAACCAGTAGCATTGTTGAAACAACATCCTTGCCGTTTCCCTTTAAAAGGCTGCCTTGGCGCCGCGGCGTTTGCTTTCCTGAGTTGGTCTTTGACCCCTTGAAAGTTAAGCTTTCGGCTAACATGCAATTGGTCGGTGACTGGCTTTGCTGTTTGCAAGTTAGGGAGACTATCATGTTCCAAAAGGGATTGGGCCTGAGGGGCACAACTTTGTACAAGCAGGCTGCCAGAAACCCATTTCTGCATGGCACAATGGCGGGAAAAGCACGAACTATCGCGATTTGCACAATCAATTCTGACAGTGCCGCAGAAAAACAGAGTGCCGCAGGAGTTTTAGGCAGGGTTCCATTTGCCTACCTGAAAGCAGATTTCAGCCCACAACTTCTCCATTTGGGGAAATTGACAACCTGGGTTGCAGCCTACCTTGGCTTAATGAAAAAATGGACCCCTGGTGCTAGTGACTGCTAGTGGATTCCAGATGACTGGACATAGTTGGCGATGATTGGCATCGCGCTTGTAGGGAGCCAGTGAAACCGTCTCTCGTAACTGCTGATTCCTGTGGTCACATTGACGCAGGTCTGCGGCAACGGCATTTGCCGTACGCCACCAGCATACACAGCAAAGAATTGAGACAACAAGCAATCGCGGCAATCAGACTTCTCTCACGCGCGAACCGCGTGATCATCAGCCCAAGAACAGAACTGAGGATGAACACTCCGAAGATCAGCACGGTCACCGCGTAGTCCAAGCCCTTCGAGGATCGAGCAGCTGCAAAACGTGCACACAAACGCCAAATAATGTTCAAGGCAAACGCAGTCCCGAACACGTGCATGGTGATGCTAACACAAAGCTGGCACAAAATCACCTGTGCCGGAGCTCCTGCGCTCAGTAGCGACAAGGCAAGATCCAAGGAGATGCCCGAGGGTACGGAACAAATCAGGAAGGCATAGCTGAGTGGCAGTTCAGTCTTGGAGTCCTTCAACAACTCCTCACGCAAAGGGCCCCTGACGTGTTCATTGAAAGCGTCAAGGCTGCCATACCAGCTTTGGATGGCGGAAAAAATGAACTCCCGGTCTTTCTCCAATCGGCAGTCAGTTGAATGCACATCGAAGTTCTTCAACTGTGAGATCAAGGCGTGCTTCTCCCGCATGTGTTTCCGGGTGGCATGAACCGACGGGAATACACCGAGCGCTGCAAGGCCTACAACAAAAGTTAGTGCACCCTCGCTGAAGGGAAGAAGACAAGAGTAGATCCCAGCTGCCACAGCAGCGCCCATCATCCAGCTGGCAGTCACGATGGCTGTGAAGAGGGGGTGCATGACTATTTGGCCGGAAGGGTTTGCTTTTCGATATGCTGCCAACTCAAAGATACACCACATTCCTCGGCATGTTCAGGGGCATTGTTGGCATGAACTTATGACTAATGAACCCCCTGTAGTTTTGAGATGCCTCCCTTTTCCCGAGCGACTGCCAATCAACATGTGCTACTCCTAAAGGCACACGACAGGTTGGGCAAAATGAGACCTCGCAAGAATCCTCCGATTAAGGACGGGTTCCCCTTTAGCAGTGCTCAAAACCGATCGAGATTTGGTTGCCCTCATAGTGTTTAACCCTTTCGCGGCGCTTTCGCGGTGGCTCCTTGACATTAGCAGGGCAACCTCAGTACAAGACTGCAACACCAAGTGAGCGAGCGGCAAAACCTAAATGCACAGAAGTGATTTAGGACTCATTCTTACCGTTTTTGGGGGTTCCCTATATTGTTTTGCAGGTTTCTGGCACATGGAGAGCGAGCACCGGCGTTTTATTGTCACGGCACATTGGCTTCACAGCTCTGTTTCAGACTCTTCCATTGGGTCAGCAGACAAAGCAGCTGCATGTTTCCGCTTACTCCGGGCACTTGCCTTGACCAAGCGGGCTTCATCGCGAGTGACCATGTGCCGCGAAACATGCGCAGCTGGGCATGGTGCTTCCTCATGATTTCATTCGTTTGATTTAGAGCAACCGTTGGTTTTCTCCATCACTGTGAGATCTTGCCAAAAGCCGCGCTTCCACTGTAGTTGCTCTCCAACTTGCGCTCGACGATCTGCTGTCTGATAGCGCTGTTACCTGCGCGAGGCTTACCAAAAGTCAACGAAGCAAGCGCACAAACGCAAAGCAGAACTGTTTCTCTAAAGCAAAGCAGTTGATTTCGAGCGAGCTTCTGAAGAGGCAGTTGGAGGTGCGTACGGGCAAGCCAGATGGCACTGCTTCCAGGCAGATCGGAGTCCTTGAAAACCTCCTTTCGCAAACGCTTGAGAGCCTCCTCATCACTCATGGCGCACTACGAATGCACGCAGCACGGAGACATCGAAACTGTGCGCACGAGTCTACCGTTATGGGCAACTGCTCAGGAAGACGATTTTCCGAATGAACTGCTTATCGTTTCGTTATCGTTTCGGTTATCGTTTTGGGCAGGTATGTTTTCGCCAAAGTTCGCGGAACAAACAGCATTGCGTGGCCGCAGAGCCCGATCTCACATATGCTGGGCGCGTCAGGAGGCGCAAACATGATGGCTGGGATTCTGGGCCACAAACAAAAAGCTGCCAAACGCGAGACGCTCCAAGCATCGTCTGCCACATCATGAAAGCATGTTTTATTGTTTTTGGGGGTTCCCTATATCGTTCTACAAGGTTTCGATAGATTTCCTCACGCTAAATCGCCCGAATGCATAAAGAAGTAACGGAGAGTTTAGCCTGTTGCTCAAGTGCACTTGGTAGCCCCTGCTTGGAAATCACGACTTTCCAGAAAAAGCGGAGCACGCCAAGTGCACTAGCGCAACTTTTCAGTACAAGGATCGTGTGCAAAAGAGGCCGCCCTTGGATCCTGGACCCACGCCTGTCGCGGAGCCTTTGCAGAACTTTCGCGCAGCTCCCTGCATTATCGAAACTGGCAAACAGCCAGTGCAAACTGATGAGCACACGTGCACTCTCGCGCGGTCAACGCCTGCTCTTTTCGCGCGCTGCCTGCCCCAAGCGCCGTCTGAACAAGTAGCCCTTTCGCCGAGCCTTTGCGGACCGAGTTCTAGGCAAACGCTTTTGCTAGCTTTCGCGATGCAGGGTATCCTTTCGGGGAAGCTATTTAGGAAACCATTTAGATAAAGATCATCGTGGGGGTTTTGGACGCTGCTCACTTGTCAACCAGAAGAAGAAAAGCAAAACTAACCCTTACACTCTACAGTTTGTTTAACTAGCAGCTCAAGGTTTGACAAACTCAAGGTATGAGAGCAGCAGTTCGACATTTTTCGGTGTGTCTACGTCAACTTCACCACCCTGCAGCTTAGAGTCGTGACAAGTAGGGCGGGCTCCAAAGAACATGCAGCTCTTGCGCAACACTCAAAAAACCTCCCAATCCATAGATGCCTCTCTTCATCATGTTGTCATCCGTCTGATGAATGCTCACCACGTCGAAGAAGCACATCGTCGCCGGGCTGAGGGCGAGCAGGTATGGCAACGCAACAAAGCTCGCTAGCATGGCGCAAGCAATCGACAAGGAAACCCACGGGAAGAAATGGCTATCTGCCTCATAGGAAAGTATCGCGGCAGACCCATAAGAGAATACCGCTGGCAAAAGACCCGCTGCGGAAAGTAGTCCAGATGTTACCATCGCCAGCAGCCACAGGAGCAGCATCCATTTCCAGCCGAAGTGAAAGGATAGCGCCAGGACTTTCCACCCGCCCCAGGTTCTCCAAGTGTGCGACAAAAACAGGTCGAATGACTCTACCTCGCAGCAAAGCCCGTGCTAGAGGTTGCGGACTTCCAAAACACGCGCGGGAATATCAAAACCGCCTAGGCTTTAGCAACAATAAACACAACGTGGATTGGGCTGTTCCGCAGCATGCAAACCACAAGGCATGGCAACATGGCATGGACGAAAGAGATGACGCCATAAGTTCGTATGCACACAAAACACGAAGCAGCTTACCTGGAAGCCCTGGGGATTAGCGTCCTGATTCTCATCAAGGAAAAGAAAGCATGGGAGATGTGCAAAGATCTCCTCAATGGATGTGGACCGCCCTCACAATTGAGATTCAAGAGCAGAATTGGCTAAGCACGTTCCTGGCCCTTGGTACCAAGTCGATGACTTCGCGTCCCTTTGAAACCAAAACAAGAACAAAGAAAGATAGAAAAAGAACACTCCACTTCCCCCTTCTCCGGTGCTCCCGAAAGTTCAACCGGCCTTGGCCGAGTGGAGCCACAGGCCCTCCCGCTCCCCTGGCAGCAGCTCCACAGGCGATTTGTGCCAAAGCCGGCCCAAAGCCCCGAGGGTCTTCGCCAACGAGATGCCCCGCAGCAGCTCGGAATCCACCTGCCCGTTGCCCGCTGGGATCAACAGCTCCGTGATCTACATGGGATGACCATTTTGGGGAAGCTACGCAAAGGATCTTTCAACCTGGGAAAAGCTGCCCGGCCACTAAGATTGTCTTTCCAAAAAGGTTTAAAGTCCATGAACTCAGGGAGTGAAAGGAAACCCGCTGTCACCTTTTCCCACTCGGAGAATGGTGACCAAACTCCCTGAACACCAGCACGCACTACTCTGAATCTCACCTGCGCTTCTTTCTCGTGGTAAATGTCTTCGTGCAAGCGCGCTCGCAGTACATTTTCAGCCGTGCCTTTTCTCTTGCAGTTCTCTGTGAAATTATCTCTCGCAAGTTCTCTTGTGCAAATTCTGCGCACGTTCCTGCCATTTTGCCGGAAGAACCCTTCGGTCTTCGCAGTGCTTTCAGGAGCAGCCGGAAACCTGTGATGTTGAAAGGCTTCAAAGCCAGGAAGCAGTCTGCAAAACGAATAACTATCAAAGAAGAGAACAAAGTGCTATCAAAATTTATCAAATCAAGATGCGTGGTTCATGGCTTTGAGCTAGAGCAAAGTTCGTCAAGGGGCATTGACTCAAGATATAACCCAAGTGCAAAACAGGCGCGAGGCTACCCTTCCACACCACAGGGTTGCTTTGCTTGACTGCCCCAAAGCGACAAAAACCAAGGCGTTCTAGTAGAGCCTGACGACCTGGTAAAGATTTCAAGTCCGTAAGCACAAACAGGGAGCCTTACATTATACACCTGAACATTGCCTTGTAAATGGTTGTGTCCCTTTATTTTGGTGGACAAAGCCATGTTTCAAGCGGGCAAAATGCATTTTTTTAAGGAGCCCTGACAAAGGGTCATACCCACCTTGAGGTGATCGCACTGCAGCTCCAAGTCCGAGCTCCATGCAGACTCTCCGTCTAGCGTCTCTTGCGCGTCCGGGCCAGGCTCCTTTTCGGCAGCTGTCGGCGCCACAATCTCTGCGGGGGCCTCCAAGGGGCCGCTCCGCTCGCAACAGCTCGGGGATGAACCCATGGCTGGCGCAAAAAAAGTCGGTTGTCCAGTGTGGAACCCGTGGCTGGGTGCTGCGATGTACTGCAAGGATGTCACACAGTTCATTGCATGGATAAAGAAAGATCAACATCTCTGTCCAATGGATCTGCTCTCGGGAAAGCAAAACTTGCGTGAGTCAGCCAAGCGGCCTGCTGTGCCAGACGTGCTGCCGGCCGAAAGTCGCCAATTGCTGAAGTGACTCGTAAAGAATTATGCACAAACTGCGCTTAGCCACTGTGCTTCCTGAAGCCGTTGTCTCAACACTGCCCCCTTTGAACAACTGTTAACTCAGCACATGCACACGTGTGCATGTGTGCATGTGTGCGTGTGCATATCAACGTGCATCTGTGTATACACATGTGTGTATGATTGCGCGATGGTGCCCCAGGCACCCACCCTACCCCACCCCACCCCACCCCACCCCACCCCACCCCACCCGCCGCGCCCCAATTCCAAGTCTGAGACCTCCGGCCAGCTCCGTGGCACTTTGCGGCGCTCCTCACTTCGATGGGAAAAAAACCGCCCACCCGAACTCCCATGCGCCCTGCCGAGCGACCTGCTGGGTTCTTTGTTCCAGTGGGGTCGTGTTCCTTTGGGATCAGAGAGTTTTGTCAAAAAGGCGGGGTGCATGAAAAATGCAGGTCAAGACAGCACGAAATGTGCGAAACATGGGGGGCATCACCGATGTGAGCCCAGTCTTCTCAGGACTCAATACTTCGACTCGAGTAGTTGAGGATTTACATGTAACCTTTCTAAGAACAGGAGCATCCCTGACTGAGAGGGATTGTTCGCATGGCAAAACTGAGGGCCACAAGCCAAGTACGAAACTAGAACTGGCCGGTGCTTGGAAACCACCGTTTCGTTCCTTTGCTCGTAGGTGTAGAACAGAATGGCCCTACTCGTTTGCTCATCCGCAAAACGGCCAAACAGATGGACCCAAACTGCGAAAACCCGACTTTGCTCACCACTTGGACAAAAACAAGGCGGCATGTGTCTCTCTTCGGCCCCATGGGAAACCCCGAGCCGAAACAAGGCAAACCCCCTGCAAACGATTGAACCGTCCCGGTGACCCGATCCCGCCTGACGATCTCATCGGAGGGCGTGGTCTGCGAAAGCGCGGTCGGATGTCTCGTTGTATATCGCCCAAAATGGGGTGGGTTGAAAGGGAACCAAGCGGCAAAACACCCAAAATGGGAAGTTTTCCCCACGTCAACTAAGATGACACTGGAGTCTGCAAAGATTTCCAGTTCAGCCTGGCGACAAACCCATTTGAGCCCCGGACGACTGGGCTAGGTTGTTGGGAAACGTGGGTGAGCCCCCTGCATCACTGTTGATGGACATTTGCCTCAAACCAACAGTATGGACTACCAATAATATTGTCAGTATGTTTTCATTGCCCTCCAACCCCCTCCCCCCCCCCACAAAAAAAAGGGGAAAAAAGAAAAAGAAGAAGAACAAAAACGAGAATGGAACTTGAACAAGGGTCCAGTCAAGAAAATGGGTATTGATCCAAAAAAAGGGGCCACATAATTACAATTATTGCAACTTGTCGGCTTCTCTCAAATCTGGTTAGTCCCCCGCACCTGCTACTTGTCAAGGACATGCTTGGCAGTGAGAGGAAAGCTTCACCTTTCGAAGTCGCAACTCGATCCCAACGGCCCCCCACCGATCCCTGGGTAAAACGAGCTCTGATCCCTTATTTCATGGTTTAGAAATCTTGTAACAATTTGCAGGTGGGTCTTTTTGGGTTTGACGGACACTCTGGATGCCGTTGGTGTTTTCATCTTTCTTTTTTTTCTGCACGCTGCTCTTGGACACCGTTTCAAGCTACAACTTGAACCCTGGCTCAGCCTTTGCTGTGATGACATTCAAAGGGGAGGTTCTACATTGGATGGTTTCCTGTTTCCCCTTTCAACGCCCCCAAAAAGGAGAAAGAACACGCCAACAACCAAAAAATCGCGCAAGTCATCGCTGGGACTTGCCAAGCTGTTTGGCGGATCTTCGCCGTTCGGAAGCTCCGCGCGCGTAATTTGTTTTCGGATTTGGTCGCAACGGCGCTCGCCATAAAATATTCAGAACCCATCGTCTTGGAAGGTCCGACTTTCAGGGCGCAAACCCCTGACTCGCTCCCCGGCCCGGGAAAATCAGAGATCAAAAGACAGGCGAACCCACGGAACCCGGATTCCTAAGCCTGAAAAAGGAGGAAAGACTGTCCCTGGAGAAAAAACAAAAAGTGTGCAAGGTCCAAAAAAATTGCAATCCTGCGGAAGCAGGCCGGTCAAAGCTAGTTCACTAGCAAAGGTTCATGGGAACCCCAGATCAATAATTCTGTTCCATTGGTACAGGGAGGTTCTCCTCCAAAAGTGATGACCCCCTTTTAGTGGGCACCCCCTATCAATAAGTGAAAAAAATCTGGAGTTGACAGTACCCGCATCACACGCATCACAGGAAGTGCCATTTTTCCGCCAGTGAGAGTATGCCAGCCAACAAAAAAAAACGGCAATCGTCTAGGTCTTGGTATTTCAGAGTTCAAAACTACTTTCCCCATATGGGACGAATGGTGAGTCCCCTGGTTGTATGACACTTGTCCTCCCACGTCTCTCCCAAATGAAGCAATAGACGGAATGTCACTCACGACCATTGATATGGGATAAGGGTACAGTCCTGACGTTCAACAACAACCCAAAAAACGACTGGGTGATGCGCATCAAAACAGGGTCATCTTCCTCACACGCTCTCATGGAAGGTGCCGATGCCGGCTTGGGCGTGTTCCCCAGGCCGAGAGCAGTGGAATCATGGAAAGGCAGGCGTCTGGCAAGGCATACTCGCAACCCACACGCACCAACGCACGCAACGAAACACAACACACGCAACGCAAGCACACGTCGACCAACGCTCGCCACGGAATGCCGCAAGCAAGCACCCACGTAGGCAACACAGCACGCACGCAACCCAGCGCACGCACGCACGCAACGCATCTCACGCAACGCATCTCACGCAACGCACGCAACGCAACGCACGCAACGCAACGCAACGCAACGAATGCGCCCACGCAGGCCACGCACGCAACAAAACGCAGCGCACGAACGAATGCACGCACGATTGCACACAACGTGCCAACGCCACGCAACGCGATGTATCGCAGGCCACGCATGCAACGCATGCAACTCACCGACACACGCAACACAACGCAACGCACACGCCAAAAGGCAAAATATGAACATGTCAGGAAGAAAAAATAAATATTGCCGAGTTTGGTTACCAAAAATCATAGCTGATTTCGGACTGTTCGGATAACAAGTTAAGGAGATCTCGAGACTTCTGGCGCTACCGAATCCACCTTGCGCCCGAAGCGCGCAATTCTCGCGATTTTCTACAGACCTGGCGGCCTCTTTCTCTGGATGGCAGGAAGCACAGTATGAAAACAAATGGACGACACGCCACTATGGGAAAGGGAAAAACCGCCGAGATTTGTCTATTGAAGCGGCCGGATTCCATGTACATTAAGCAAGATAATCAAATATATACAATCCACGTATTGCGCTTACATAAAAGCTCTAATGGTTGCATAAACAAGTCAATATGCACATATGTATATATATATATATACACAAGCAAAACACATAAAATAAATAAGTAAATAAATAAGTAAATAAATAAATAAATAAATAAATAAACAAATATAAATAGATATAGATACACGTGGCTCGGCATTATACATGCATTCACTTGTTCAATAAAACGGTTCTAGATAAATGAAAAATAATCATCAAAAGAGAAATCTGGCGATGCAATGTCCTACTCTTTCTTTTCTCCACCCTTCATATCTCTCTTCTCCCTTCATTCGCTGCCAAAATAGAAAGAACACTCAAACAAAACAATCCTTCCTTCACCTCACCCCTTTTCCCCGCGAAGAGACGGGGCAGCGGGTGGGTAAGGAAAAAGGGATGGAATGAACGGAGAAAAAATGACAAACAGCGGATAGAGAGGAACGGCATGCTGTTTGAATACGCCTGCCTTCATTGCCTAGTATATGTCAAATTGTCAAATTGTTGTACAAATATATATATATATATATATGTACACATATTATGTTTGCATATGATGATTCTTTATTTCTTATTTTCATTTGCTTGATTCATGGTTGTTGTTGTCTTAAAATTCGACATTTAGAACATTGCCAAAAGGAATTGAAGAATGTGCCTTCAATTCCTTTCGCTTCGGTCTCGACCAGGATTCATCTCCTCGGCGGAGGTCATCAGCGCTTGTGCGGTGGTACATGCGTAGTACCTGCTTGCTGGCACTGGACACCACGCGGTAGCAAATGTGTTGAACGATCTTCTAGCACAGAAGGAGAAAAATTGACAAAACAGGGAAACACACAAACAAGCAAACGCAAACAAACAAAAAGCGAAGAAGCAAAGAAAGGAGAAAGGAAGGAAGGAAGGAAGGAAGGAAGGAAGGAAAGAAGGAAGGAAGGAAGAAAGAAAGAAAGAAAGAAAGAAGCCAGCAAGCAACCAAAAAGCCAAACAACCACACCAAGCAACCTGCCTGCAAGTCAGCCAAAACAAGTGACCAAACAGCAGCCAACTACGCTACTGCCACTGCAAGTGCTGCGGCTGATGTTTCTGCTGCTGCCACTCTGTTCCTACTGCTCTACTGTATTGTGCTACCATCATTTCTGCTACTGTTGATACTACTGCTGCCATCAATACCTTGAAAAAGCATCTTTTGTTCTGAGGAGGCAACCTCATGCTTGCGTGGTCCTTCTATCAAACATCTGCCAAAGCGCAGCAACTGCAAACACACATCCAACAACGAAGGAGAATAGTTTTTTCAGCACGTTGATGCTCTTACCCCCGGACGCCACCTTTGCACGCCGAGATGCTGTAGAAGCCTTCCTGGAAAGAATCGAACGGCCGGCGGCACAAAGGACACAAAGGCTTGTCATGCTCCATCAGGGTCAGAACGCAAGATCTGCAAAGTGCGGAATGACCGCAGGGCTGCAAAACCTCAGCTTGAGGTTAAATTGGGTCGGCACTGCGCAACATGGATTATGCCTGTAAGTGTTTTGGCCTCAGTCTCATGAGGCACGGTTCAAAAATTACTTTAAGAAACGATAAGAAATGTGCTCATGCCGACATGTCGTTTATAGTGTTTAGAAGCAATCTCTAGCTTGTGCTTTCTGCAAATTTGTCCACGCAGCTTGTTGTACATGCACCCCCCAAATTGACCAGAGACTACTGGAATTATGACTGGGCCTCATTTGTGAAGGGCTGTTGCTTTCTGGCGGTCAAACGCTTGCAGCTCTGATCACTCCAAGACCCTTCGCAGTGCTCGCGCAAAGCCGAGCAACTGTCTTTGAAGGAGCGTTCTTGCAAACCTCAGGGCTTGCTGCATACCACTGGCACTCAAGAGCTTGTGCGAGCACCATGAACGCGAAGAGCCATTCACAGCTAACAGGAACCAACAAAAGAAGATGGGAGGAACCAACAAAAGAAGATGGGAGCCTTCCAAACAACACGGCGCCCTGCCTGGCATCTTCTGTCCCTCTCAAGCACTAAGTTTTGCAAAAGACTCTCCTGCTGCCCTGACATTTCAAGTGCCTCGCACGTAGGCCCACACACGTGGTTCTCAAAGAAGCGCTTGAAGCCCTCCACTCTCAGGTCGCCTGCGGGATAAAACCTGTGGATCTGTCAGTAAAATGAGTCGTTTGTCCACGTCCACAATACCTTGCAAGTCCACCACCATGATGCTCCCTCTGCTTTTCCTCAGCATCCACAAGGCCATCAGAGCCATAGCAGGGCCATGGGCAGGTCACCCAATGGTTTTGAGACGGCATGCTCTGAAAGTACGCAACTAAGTGGCTGTGGCTCAAAAAACCGGTACCAAAATGGAACCCTGGCAAGTGGACACATGGACCAAAACCTGCGTAACCCCTCCTGTTTAATTTTGAGCCAAACCCAAGTGCATTTATGTGGATGTTATATTCACCTGGCAGGCGGACTCACACAATGTTCGTCCTCACGCTGCACAGGGACAATTTACACCAATTCACGGGCTTGGCGTCACATAGGTAAAGTGGCTGAACGCCTGCATGAGCTCGGCTTTCTGGTGGTCAAGGTTCACGTATCCATTGTTGCCATTGAATTTCACAAAGTCACCGTCGAGGCACTGCTCTCCAACAAAGAAGGCAGGCCCGTGCACGCAGGTGTACTCATAGAGGTAGCAAGGCACAAAGACGATCTCCCAGCCTAGGGGAACCTGATGTGCACAGTTGGGTGTGACACAATTGAAGCAACACAGCTGAATCAGCGACAGCAAAGCAACAAAATTTCCGAGTGGCCACTTTCAAGGTTAAAAGCTGAGAAAGACATGCTTCTGCGTCCAGGTGCTCCTCGTTTTTCGGCCTCCTTGAGGAACGCTGACAAAATGCAGCTGGCAATGCTTGTGCAACGGCAGAAGGGTAGCATGTCAGCCTTTCCTGCATGGTGATTGTTGATGAGGCGTTTTGCGACCATCTCCTGCCCATTGTTCTTTTCTGATCTGTCGAACATACTGTAGACCAGCCGCATGCCCCCAAAAGCGAAGGGTTTACGATGAATACTGACTGGTGCGTCGGAACAAATGACATTGACCTCATCTATATACCCCCAAACTTCCTTCTGCTTCTTGTGTGAATGCTTCATCAAAATGCACTGGCGCTCGCACAGCTGCGTGTTGCAAAGGGGGTCGAAAGGAATATCCAGGGCAGCCATCCTGAGAGGTGCTGCCGACGCACCTGTTGAGATTGTTGCTGCTATGGAAGTGAACACCTGCCTCAAGTTCAAGTGGTTCAGGGAACAAACTTGAAAGGTGCCTCTCGTCATCTCTGCCAGATTTTGGAGGTTGTGAAAATGGTCTGGTTGCGATCCGAAAGCTACAGTGTGGATTTCAAAACTCCGCGCACTTTGCACGTTGGACTTCAGCAAGAGCTGCTTTTCGAAGAGTGGCATCACCCTGTTGGCCTCATAGGGCTTGCCATCTGACAGAAAAATCACGCGGACATCTTCCTGCGCAGCCTGATCACCGAGCAGGTTGTGCACACCCTGGAATGCTGTCTGAAACTTGGTGTCATCCTTTGGGCGTACTTTTGCAGAAGCTCTCTGCAACTCTTTGTAAGCTGACTTTTTCTCAAGCCTAGCGAAGAGAACCTGTGACTTGCTATTGAAAACAATCAGGCTGAACGTGTCGCGCTGTCCATTCTCAAGATCCTGGTGGGAATCTAGGAATGAGAGACTAGCATGGAAAACGGCATCCACCCGCCGGACATTTTTGGGAAGTTTGACATCGCAGCCGGCGCGATGCGTGAGAATTTCAATATCTTCAATTGCCATACTCCAGCTGGCATCAACCACTAGCACAACATGAAGCAGTTCAGGATGCGAGCGATCCTTGCGAGCTGGGGTTTTAGCTTGGGAGGCCATGATGGTGTCAATACATTTCATTTCCTTGACTATATCATCCAGCTCAGCTTCAGACACGTCGCTATCCGACCACTGACCAGCTTCGTGTTCCTCAGCCACTCTTGCAACAATGGCTAGGTTGCCTGTCAGGACAGGTCTGGTCCCCAAGCTGCTCGAATGGAAACGCTCCATGCTGAGCTGTCGGACACAAAGCTCATTTGATCCAAGAAGTCTGCGAGAGTGAAGCAATGACAAGGAACAAGCGTACGCTGAGTGCCCCTTTTGTAGAAGCCTCCTCGGCAAAACCATGGTAGCTGCAGGGCTTTGGGCCTTTCAACTTTGTCATGCTTCCTTCAGGACATGCGAGGCAACATGCACCACTCATAGTGCACCCTGCCCCGAGTTTCAACTACTGTCAACGAGCTCGTGATTTGCCCACCCACAAACACAAAGGTGTAACTCTGAGTCCATCCCAAGAAGCCCGAAACATGCTCTTTGCTTCCAAGGGAAAACTGTTGCCACAGCTCAGCCGCTAAGCCCATTCTGGGTGCCTTAAGGATGAACTGCCGCACAGCAAATATCTCAGCCAAAAAAGGGGCCTTCTACTTATGATAGCAGTGCTGGCTCAACATGCGCAATTCTCCCCTCAGGCATATCGCAAGCGCGTCGTGCAGCCTTGTCCGTCGTAAGGCGCCCTGGTGGAGGGTGGTTCCACTAGCTTGCGGCAGACTATTGCCATCATCAGCACATCGTGCAAGCGATGCGGCAATCCTTGCATGCCCAACCGCACCGGCTCATGGGCAGTTGTGATGGACTGGCACATGCTTCCAAAGACGAAGAAGCCCTAAACAGAAGACGACGCGCATGGATAAGCACTAATAACTAATGACTCCTTGAATGGACGCATAGATACCTAATGTGACGCAGCAAGCCGCAACCTCCATGGTCTAGCTGCTTCCTACACTGGTGCGTTTACGCGTTCTGAAGCGTCGATACAGAAAATGGGAGCTTCGGGATTATCCTCAGACAAACACAACTTTGAAGCGCTGTAAACATTCACTCGTGCTGGTGACTGGCCTGTAAGAGGTCCACACACATTCATATTCGTGTCATCGTGCTGTGGGTGTCTAAGTCGTTTGCGCGTCAAACAAGCTGGGCGTGGCGGTGGCCTGTGCTTCAAAAGTGGGTCTTCACGTGGCGACTCAAAGTTCTTCCATGATCTCAGCATGCTGGTGAAGGTGGGCGCTGCATATGATGGGAATACCATTGCCCCCACCTACATGTGCCAGGGTGGTGTCTTACAGGCCATTACCCTTGCTTCCCGGCATTGCATCGCATTCCCATACCTTGTGCTCTCCTTTTGTCCGCTCCGCGCTCGGCAACTTTGGAGCACGGCACTAGGTCCTGGGCACAAGCGTCAGAAGAGAAAACCAAATCATCCGATGCAAGCACATGGTTTTGGCGTGGCTCAGCTCCCAAACACCGATTTTGATGTGGCTGTGGGCTTGAGCCATGCTACATCCCGAAACAGGGGTGACAGCTATGCCGTGCCAAGTGGCCAAAAGAGTGTGGACATTGCGGCAGCGAATGCTTGAATAACACCTTGCACATGGCAGCTTCGTCTCGTCCTCTATCTTTCTCTCAATTCTGTTCGCTCCCTGCCCCTCTCCAGCAGTCATATGCGCCAAGTCACTCAATGGATATCTGAAATCAAGCCCGAAGTTTGTCGAGCTAAGCTTTCCGTACCTTGGCGAGAGCGGCCTGGAAGTGGAGAGGACTTTGGGCTTCCGCGAGCTTGTGGATTGACCGCCACACGCTTACAACAGAGGTCCCCAAGGTTCCATACCTTTCTGAGAAGATCAAAAGGGGATCCACCCTGAGAGACTCCTAGTGAGTGATTCGTTCCATCCTTTTGTTTGCCGTGGACGTCGGAGTTGCGGACTATGGCCTCATTTCAGCTTAGGCCAGTCATGCCCGGTTCCCTCCCAATCCCAGGAAGCAACACCTCAGCTTCTAAAGCGCAATGCCCATGTTACACTTCTACAGGAAATTCAGTAGCAAGCGCTGAACAGGCGCCATTCAGAAACATCCCCTACGGCGGCATTGGGTGCAGCCAAGCTGCTGGCAAATGACATGCTGCGGCTTTTGCCGCAGGGCCAGCTGGAAATTCTTGGCCTTACCCGGCCCTCCCAAAGGCAAGAAGAAATCCACGAAGGGCAGCTGCTTTGAGCACGACGGATAGAATCATTCTTCTCGTTTACTGTATGTACGGAGAGGGTTGTCAATCTTCGTGGAATCAGTGTGCAAACCTAATTCAGGAGGATATGACATGCCTTGTTCAAATTCCAGCTTCTGTCCGTGTGCACTCAACCCGTTTGAACTTGCACCGGTTACAACCAACCTTGCCCCAACATCTTTTTTAAAATCAAGATTGAGGCTTTCACGGCATGGCACCTTGGCTTCAAGAACGCTTTTGTGCCACCACGCACACGCGGATTTCTGGGCGATGGCAGGCACGGGCCGGCCGGATTTTCACAGCCGGGGTGGAAGCTGCAAGCCACGTGCTTCGTCCCAATCAGCTTGCGGGGCCGGCCTCCGCGCAAGCACTCGCTGTCCGCCAGCCCAGATTCGGTCAAAATGATGTGGCTGTGGTGGTCAAAACCGTTTTGGGATCCCATTTTGGTTGGTAGGTGAATTCACCACCCATGTTAGAAACTATTTTAGTGGTTGGATTGGGAAGTTCACTGGGGGTACGATTTTGGCCCATGGCCCATGGCCATGCAAAATTCTGGGCTGGGATTCGCTTCAACTCTGCCTGCTAGGGGCACCTCAACGGGCATGCTGAGCAAGGACTCAGCTACGTGCGGCAACAAAAGATCTGGGGCTGTGGCAGTGGCACAGCCTTCTTCCGATCCTATGGGTGACGGAGGCCAGCCAAGCACTCTGGCCAAAGTGTGGATCTCTGCATGTAGCGCCCCCCCCCCCCCATCTAGACCCTTGGTTCGCATTACCCCTCCCACCAACATGGAAGTGGCACCAAGCCCCTTTCCAAAAGGATAGTCGTCTTTCTGCAGGGTATCACTCACCCGGTCTCAGTCCAACCCGGCTCCTGCGTCGGGGGCCAAATGGCACTCTTGCAGAAGTTGCTCCAAGAGCTGCTCGGCCTCGACATCCTTGGCCGGCGGCCGAACCCGTTTTCATTTGTGTCGGCTAGTCGGCTCGGGGCGCGAGCAGTGCAGCCAAGCAGAGATTCTTGTGAAGGGTTGCTGCTGAAAAGGGCAAACTCCCAGCTGAACACGCAAGATTCTGCGGAAGCGCCCCCAGCTAAGAGATGGGCGGTCTACATCAACACCCCAGTTAGTGAACCCTGAAGACAAAACAGCACAACGTTTTCCGACCTAGGCCCGAGTCCCCCGCCAACCATTGGGAAGATCCCCGGGTGACCGTGACCAGCCCAACCAAAGTGGCGTGATCTGTTCGTCGAACCCAGTCCCAGTCCCGGGGCCTGGCGTTTGAAACATGTCGCCAACCTGGCGAGCCTTCGGAGGCCTCCGGAAAGCAAAGGCAAAAGATTGAATTGAATCAAACAGGGGCCACTCGCCACTAAGGGGCATTCGGAGGCCTCCGGGAAAGGCAAAAGATCCAAAGGAATCAAACAGCCACTGGATGTCCCCTTCAAAAGTTGCAATTTACGAGTGGTTTCCCATTGAGACCTGCGTGGAAACGGTGAAAAACGTGCCGCCGAGGCGTCATCTAAATGTTGAAGCTGCTGCGCAATGCGGCCAGCCAAGCCAACCACGTCACCGCTTGCCGGAGCAGGTTCTGGCAAGGAGACGTTCCTTGTGACCCTTTCTTCGCTGGGCTGCCCTCAGATCCCCCGCTAAAAGTTTAACTTTTCGTGGGTCAAATGGAAACTACCACTAAACACTAAAAGGCTACAAAGCTAAGGGGATGGCTGGGAGCCACCAAGTGCGTACCTATAACTTTACCACTTGAGCTCTGAATGTGACTGAACAAGCTGGTTCTACTCTCAAGTGAGCACGTGGCTGTGCCTCTTGAGCCGGCCCCGCCTGGCTGGAACTCTGCGAGTACTTGCGCGGCCGGCCGGAACCCCTGGCAAAGACCAGGAAAAGTTACCTAGGAGTCTTGGCAACCTGTTGAACCACCAGGGTGAACCCTCAGTTCATGAAGCCGTCTAATCACCCATCTGTCCATCTGTCCACAAAGGGTGATGCCATGTGGGCGGGATGTGCTGGAAGTCGGCATGGAATCTGCTCTCTGGTGTGCGGGGGGTCTAGGGGATCAAGCGAGCTGCCTCTCACCCGCCTTTGCATCACCAGTGATTTGCGGACAATGTGCAACAAACCCCCCCCCCCCAAAAAAAAAAAAAACAAAAAACAAAAAAACAACCTGGACACTGCTCGAATGAACACCCCGGTGTAGCCTTGCATGTGGTTTGTGGCCTGCGTGTGGCGCATGGCCCGCGAAAATCCCACACGGCCTGAGCTGCGCTCTTCTTGAGCCAGCTCTCAGCGGCCTGAAGCGGCTTCTGGGCACTCCACCAGTCAAACGCGGTACCCGGTTCGTTGCCTTTCTGGGTCTCGTTGCGGGCCCTGATCTCCAAAAACCAGAGAGGACACCACCCGGCTGGCTGCAACTGTATTGGCCTCCAGCTCGCCCCTTTTGGACAGCAAGCCGGCCGCGCAGTACTGGGACCTCACGCGGGCGCTTGAAACGTGCTCCATCCTCCCTCCATCCCCTGCCCTCTCAAAGGTGGCTTCTCAGATCCTAAGGCAATCAACTTGTAGCGCTGGTACAACCAATGCTTGAGCCCCTTGGCCCCTTTTGGCCCCTTTGGCCCCCTTGGCCCCCTTGGCCCCTTTGGCCCCTTTGGCCCCTTTGGCCCCTTTGGCCCCTTTGGCCCCTTTGGCCCCTTTGGCCCCTTTGGCCCCTTGGCCCCCCAGCAGCGCGTTGCCCTGCTCCGCGGCCGCCAGGTGCCACTTCAGCGCCGCTTCTGCGTCCTGTAGGACGCCCAGGCCGTCTTCCAGCATCAGCGCCAAAGCCTCGTTTCCCACGCCCCGGCTGGCTTTACAGCTTCGCGGTGGTTTCGGCCCGGAGCTTCACATGCAAGACGTGTTCTAATCCCAGTTGTGGAGAAATATTTTATGAGGCAGCCGCTTTCCCGCCGCTTTCGCGGATTGAGAAATGCGAGAACAGTTTGGTTTCGTTTGCGCGGACACAGCAAAACTACACATTTGCTACACGTGGCAGTTGCACCTTCAACGCCGTGAGGCACTTTGCGCTTGAGCATTGCCACCCTCTGCTGCCAGCAAATACCAACGATGCGCTTCTCGCGGGTCTTTGGCAACTTGACCATCCAAGCCAGACCTAAGCAGGAAGGCAAATATGCTGTCGGCTTCCCTGCACAGCCCGCTTTTTTCGCACACTCTTCTGAAAACGAATCGTCAGTCCATGGAAAGGTACATAACGGAAGCTTTTCCACGTGCATCGAAGGTGCTCATAGAGCTCCCCGAGGCGCCATTGGGAAACCACGTGCCCTTGCTCGGCGGCCAGGCGATACCTTTGCGCAACTAGTCAGTGTGCCAGCTGTGTGCTCAGAGCATACGAGCTCTGAACGACTTTGGCAGCCCCCAAACTCGCAATGCAAGCAGCCGATGGATATCCAGGAAAGCCAACCCCCTAGCACCAACCGAGCTACATGGTTTGGGCGGCTGCTAGGTCTACCTTGAAACCGTGGATGCCCCGCTCGTGGCAGTGGCCCGCGCAGAACAGCGCGTCTGCTTCACTGGGATCCGGGCCTGTCACGAACAGCTTAAAGCCTTGATTCCTGGCCTTGCTGTTGCGGTTCTCTCTCTCTCTCTCTCTCTATCTCTCTGCAGTTGCAACCATGTTTGGTGGGGAAGCATACTTGCATGCTCGGCCAAGGGTATCACCACCTTCACGGTTACCCCAAAGCAAAAGGGACCTGTCAAACCCCAGGTCAAACTTGCCGTCTCAAGAAGCGACCCGGCCCGCCTGGCGCAGGCGCGGGCTCCGCGGGCTCCGCTGGCGCCTCCGCGCTTGCATGTTGATCGCATGGAGGGGGTGATGTCCTTCGTCCATCACTTCACTCTTGATCAAGTTCTCGTTAACACGGTCAAGGGAGAGAGGGTTGTTAACAGGTGACAGGAAACCTCTGCATCCAGATTGTCACAAAACGAGCCTCGCTAGCTTGGGCCGGCCTAGGCGCACATGCGCACATTCGCTCCGCCCGTGTCTCTTTGAAGCTTCTTTGCCGGCAAGGGGCGACTCGGCGGCCTGAACGGCTTGGTTGCTGGGTGGTGCATACCAAACCCTACCATTGACCATTGGCAGCGGAAATCCTGCGCCACAAAGTTGATGCCCCGACTATGTGGTGTAACTTAAAGTTCTTCAAAAGAGGCGGTGATTCGGATTTTGCACTCCTCCTTTCACAGCAACAAAGTTCTGTCACCCAAAGTAAGAAAGGACTCCTTGGGTGCAAAGAATGCGCGATCGCTTCAAGGTGTCCCTGAAGTTATTGAAGCGTGACCAGGAAAAATCCCCGGACAAAACACGCTTCCGCATCCCCGCTTTCACGCCGGCGGAATGCCTGGCCTTCTTTGCAAGTTGCTTCTCCCTTATCTTGCGCAGTGCCTCCAGCTTCCTTGGCCACCGAATCCCCGACATGCGCTCGATATTGCTTGACGTGGGAAGCCCCGTGCCTTAACCGCAAAAGCCGTAAGGCAGGCGTTGGTGATCTTTCCGGCAAACATGTCCCAAGGATTTGCCTGCCCATGGCATGGTTATGGCTGCGTAAGCAAAGCCCAAAAGTTGCAAAGGCCCCGAGCATATACTCTATGCTGCCTGAGCGGCTCCTCAAATGTTGCGCCACCCATGCTGCAATATCTCACGCCGACATGCAAGAGCACAAGCAACTGGTATCCAAGAAAGCTTGCTGACACTTCTCCAGTGGCTATGTGGAACCAAACATTGGCTTTCAGCTTGCGGATATCCTACATGCATCTTGTGTATGCTTAATGTTGGTGTTGTTGCACATGTCTTCATAGAGTGTATGGAGTCTTGCTTTCGACATATGCTCCCGAGCAACTTGATCCGAGCAAGGCCGCAAAATGCCAAACCCTAAAGCCAAACCATAGAGTTCCCCCACCATTTCGGACATGTTCCACTAGGATCTGTTTTGTTCTTTTCACTGGCCCAACATGGCCACGGCATTCTGAACACTGCAAATCCCTCAGCTTCTGGCCGAGGACACGATATTGCCTCAGACGTTTGCATGCAGCTGCACAGCATAGCTAGTTGCGTGTGTGCATATATGTATGCATTTGTCCATGTGTATATATATATATGTGTGTGTGTGTGTATGTGTATTTAAGTAGCTATGCATATATCTTTACATATAGATAGACATGTTTATGTGGGCGATTCTAAAAATAGGCGTGCCCGAAAATCTACACGCAGGCAAACGCTTCAAGCGAGATGCATCCAAGCGGCGTCCCTTGAAATCTAGCACCAGGCTTTGCACCTGCGTGGGCAAACTGGAGGGCCGAGAAAATAGCTGCGGCCAAAGAAAGAAAAGGACGACGTTGCCCTCCATTCGCCTAAATGCTCTGGAAAAAATACAAATATTTCCAGTAGTGATAGATTCCCTTTAAAACCAACAGGGGAAAATAAAAATAAAAATACTCTTAACCAAATGGAAGTTGCTCATCCAGCTTCTTCAATCCGAAGCCCGGCCTGCTCATTCCAAACAGGCTTGCGGGTGACCAGAGTCTGGGTTTCGCCAGTGTTGAAGCCAGCCTCGGTGCCCACTGCGCAAAGCTCGCAAACGTGGCAAGACATGCTAAAACCCTCGGATGGCCAACGGCATTCCTCACTTTGCACGTGCAGTACGAGCCCAAGCGCAGCGCATCTGCCAAGTCCCCCTTCCCCTGCATGGCACACCACACAACCTCGGACCGGTGAAAGTACAATCTCCAACATGGAAGCTGGGGGGCTTTTGGAAGGCACGTCGAGGGAAGGTGGCGCTGTGGAGTGACGGCCTTTTCCTCTTTGAGCAATTGTTCCTGTCAAGGCCTGCGTATCTCGTGGCCATCATGGAGTCTTTCAGGCATACTTGCCAAATGTGTGTTCTTCGAAAGTCGTGATTGCTGATACTGCTGAAGGGAGGTGCATGAGCAGAAATATTTGCATGGGATTCGATTCTAGATCTTGCTGGAGCGCCTTCAGCGTTTGGCATCATGCACGGCCCCCCATCAGCAAGAAACAAACACGTCGCTGGCTTCAAATAAAACACCCACCTAGTCCTCCGATCCTCTTTAGCTGTTACACCAAGAGGCGCATGTGTCGTTCTGATACAGCCCAGGAATAATGACCTGATCGGGACAAGAGTGGGAGGAAGACTCAGCGATTCTACTCAATTGATGGGAAACATGAAGCAAGTCGAAATGGCTGTGGCTCAAAAAACCGGAATTCCAAAATGGAACCCTGGTAATTAAGTGGAAACATGGACCAAAACCTGCGTAACCTCTCCTGTTTAATTTTGAGCCACGCCCAAGTGTTGACATGTCTACGGCAAACAAATTACTCGCACGGATCCTTCGCTGGCTTCCTGCGGGCCTCCATGACGTTGGACAGCCCTTCCCCCACCGAGTGCTGCTTGTGGTTGATGATGGCAACCTGCGGCATGCCAGCGAACTGAGCAGGCCGCGACTGACCTGACCCAACACCAGCTGCTTTGATGGACGCCAGCTGAAGTGTAGAGTCCCGATCAAAACGCTCCCTGTCAAAAAACAAAGGCCTCAGGCTGAAAACAAAAAACTCGGTTGCTTGCTGCTCTCCTGCTAAAAGTTTAACTTTTAGTGGTTTAATGGAAAACCCGCTCGTTGGCAAAAAGCCAGTCCCAACATCCAAGCAGAATGCAACAAACAAAAGCAGCGCAGCTTTGCAGGTCCGAAGCGGCCAAAGGGAGCAGAACCTCCATCGGCCTGCTGCTTGCCATGCGAGGCGCAAGACCGGTGCGGCGAGGCGTACTGGCAAGCTGCACACCTGCAGAGGGCACATAAGCTTGCTGGTGCGAGAGATGCAGGAAATGAGTTGGAATGACCCCCATAAACTATCCCTGGTGGTTTCCTTTAATGGGACCCCTGGGTTCATTCCCTCATTCCCTGCTGAGCACCAGCAAGTAAGCCACCCTCGAAGCAACGGTTCCCGCAATGACTTCACATATCTGTGGGTCAAAAATAGGTACCCAAAATGGAACCTTGGTAAATGGAAACATGGACTAACACCTGCGGTCCCCTAGTGGCTTCATCTTGACCCACACCCACATGGGTGAGGACAATGCCAAGCTGAGGTGGTGGCTGCTCCTGCACAAGCCTCCACTGGTCCCGGGTGCTATTGTAACCTCTGGCCAAAAGATGTGGCCGTAGCCCAACAGGGCCAAGAATGCCAAGCAAATACGAGCAGACTCGCGTTGCGCTCCCATGAAAGAGGCCCCGACCCATGGTAAAGGCGGGCCTGGGCACATTTCCGAGCCCAATGTAACTTGCCGCTTAGAAACTAGAAGGAACTTGGACCCCTGCCGCTCCCGATCGAAGAGCTCTCTTTGACCTCCAGAGGGGGCCACACAGTCAACTAAGGCAGCTGGTTTTCCATGTCAGGGACCTTCCATTGAAGAGCAAAGCAAACAAAGCATGCTTGTTGATCCTTTCCAGCAACTCGTGATAGCTTTGGAGACACCTTCAGGTTATCTCGCGGCTAACGCGCGGCCGCAAGTCACCATGCTGGGTCTCTTTCGACTACCCGCAGACTACCCGAGGCCTCCAATCACATCGCTTTCCGAAAATCAACGCCGTCTGCCCCAAGCAGGGCGAACATTGAGGCGGGCGCACGGGTCGTATAGGTGGAAATCTACCCTGTGCGCCTGGGAAGGTGGAGTGGAAGCCCAAGTGGCCGCTCGACATGGGGTTCAGCCCGAGACAAAGCCTTTTGCAGCCTCCTTTGCATGGCGGGTTGTCAGCAGAGGCCAAGCATCGATCTTCAAGCCACTCGCTTTCATGGTCGACCTCTATGCGTCTGAGGCCACAGTGTCAAATCTGAGAAGCAAACCACAAAGAATGTGAACAACATTTTTTCGAGCCCTCTTTGGGCTTGCTTTGAATCTTAAACGGTGTTTCGTGGAACTGCTGCCATTTGAGCAACGATTCTTGGATGCTTTTGAGTCACATTCCTAACTAATGTTGAGTCCTAAGTGAACTGGGAAAGACCTGTGTAAATTCAGGTCCCACGTCAAAAAATATTCCATGCGCTGTGGCGTCTTTACACTTCACTTCTGAAAGAGGCTGTGGAGCAAACAGGTCAACGGCACCACGACAAAGCACAGCACAGGTTGTACTCGAAGGAGTGTACACAAAACAACGCAAAAGCACAAAAATCCCCTTGCAATTTCAGATGTCGCTCTGGATGTCGCTCCCATGTTTAAAAATATCACTGAGTATCTTTGGCTTCTCGTAAAAACAGCACGATGGCGCAGGCCCTTACTAAACCAATATGCGAGGGGCGCCTTTTCGCGATCGCGTTCCTGTCAGTACTTGTTCCACAAAAATGTCCTTTGCAAGCCATGAATGGCAACAGTGGCATGCTGGTGCCCCTGTGAAAGTGTAGTCAGTTGGAGTCAAAGTGAGCCTTGCAGTGGGAAAGGGAAACTTGGTCAGAGCGTTCCCTTTGCCGCCCCCCACAGCACGATGGCGCAGGCCCTTACTAAACCAATATGCGAGGGGCGCCTTTTCGCGATCGCGTTCCTGTCAGTACTTGTTCCACAAAAATGTCCTTTGCAAGCCATGAATGGCAACAGTGGCATGCTGGTGCCCCTGTGAAAGTGTAGTCGGTTGGAGTCAAAGTGAGCCTTGCAGTGGGAAAGGGAAACTTGGTCAGAGCGTTCCCTTTGCCGCCCCCCTAGACTGCACTAAAGCTACAGCTGGCACATGGTCCACTTGCTTGGGATGGATCCTTTGCAAGGGAGCTGTTTCAGCTGATTCAGCAGCTGATTTATCGCAAAGGCCTCTACTTTTTTGCACGAGGAAAATAAGCAACCAACCGGAAAGTGTGCAGGCGCGCCTCCAAGAAAACGGAGGCATACATCAGGAAGTCGCCTGAAGACTCGAGCACAACGTGAGATGCCATGCTATGGCTGCTATGGTCATCGTAAACCGATTGGCTTGGTGAGCTCTCATTGGCTGATTGTTGAAGGATGCACCAAAAACAAAGCACGCACGCACGCACGCACGCACGCACGCACGCACGCACGCACGCACGCGCGCACGCACGCACGCACGCGCGCACACACACACACACACAAACAACCACAAACACCCACGCGCGCGCACGCGCACGCGCACGCGCACGCGCACGCGCACGCGCACGCACACGCGCACGCACACGCGCGCACGCACGCACAGGTACAAAGCCAATAGCCGTTCGCAACACAACAAAGAACGATTAAGCTAACCTTGTGCCGCAAGCGATGGCATTTCCGAACAGCAAAATCCCTGTTTCGGACTCTATGTCGCCTAAACCTTTGTTTTACGCTCTAGACTGTAAACTGCTCCTCCACCGTTTCTTCAGCATGTTTCAGGACAACCCCTTGATCCTGAGACTAATCACTTCTTGTCGTTTCATAACTGAACCCTCTACAATAGCATTGTTTCTTTCCACCCTAATCTCCCAATACTAGATTTGAATTGCCGATACTCACCCAGGACAGAATCTGAAACTGTGACGCACTAGAAAAATCCAGTGCGCCGAAGCATAGGGGGGCAAGGTTTGACTGATGTATTTTGTCCATGGCATGTAGTCTTCGGCGGCAGGATCCAAATAAATGGTGTCCTTGCTAGAAAGGCTGCCTGGTCTTCTCATCTCGTTGCTGTGATCATTTCTTTCACTGGCAAAACAGCGACCGCGACAGCCCAGCACCTGCATCTGTGACCAAACGGGCAGACAGCTTATCGTCAGAACGCAGGACCTGGGCCACGCACAGTGTGCGGGCTCGATGCGCGACGCGCAAAGCGCGCTCGGGGCCCAGAATCCCACAACCCACTTTTTCTTCTTTTTTTTGGGGGGGGTTGGGCGGGGGTTAAGCACTGCTACAACTGGAGCGCTCTCCTCAATTGGCCTTTCCACTCGCGTTCTCTCAAGCTCTCAGGCACGCGCCCGGAACCGCCACAGCCTTGGCAAAGCACGTCCAGTGACGTGACAGCCACTTGGCACGAGGCCAAGCGCGCGGCTTGCTCGATCGCCTCCTTGGCGAGTGGATGCGGCAGTGTGTGCCATGGGTGCGTGAGTTGCGAAAGGACGTCATATGGCTGTGGGTCAAAAGCCCGGTTACCCCCCAGTGAGCATCCCAATCCAACCACCAAAAACGACTAACATGGGTGGTGCACCTACCCCCAAAATGGTACCATTGGGTTTTGACCCACACGCTGACTCAAGGGATTGATAGACATGTCTCGGCCGGGCCAGGTTGATGCAATGCTGGCCACAGGCAAAGACAACCAACTTGGCAACTGGAATCCAAACAAGCCGCTATTGTCTCTCTAGGGTCTGCAACACCTCCTGTTATGTTTCAAGGAAGCCGTCATGCGAATGCCCGAATGCATCATCTACTCGAATCTAACCTCTGAAGTCTTGGACTTGTGGCTCGCCGAAATTGGAGACGGCGTCAGTTGCTGAAAAAGCGTCAGAATGCGAGAAAGGCACAGTGGCACAATGAAGTCCGTGGTAATCTCATGCGCGTGGCCTTCCTCCTGGGGATACGCCGGGGGAAGCACTGGATTAGGCACATGGCATGAAGCTACTGACAAAGGCTAAGCACACAAAGCAGGGGTGTGCCTTTCTTTTTTTACGGGAACCCCAAAAAAAGTGTGGCTTTTCCAGGTGATTTCTGTTTAAAAACCCTAAAACATGGGTACCTGCAAATCAAAAGCCACTTACCCACGGGGCCATCACCAAAGCTTCGGCTTGACGTATCGGCTCCATGGATTCGATGAGGTCCACGTTGCTATCTCGCCGATCGCCTGAAGCAGGCGGAAGCCACTGGACTCTGCCTCGGCCCTGTGTCAACCGGTGTGTGTTTTTTTTGGTTCTTATTCTCTACAACCGAACAGTGCAACCACCAACATCACTTCACAACCCAAACAGTATGGTAGCAAAAGAAAACGACTGCTTTTTTGGTAGCTTTTTCTTAAACATAAATAGAGGCAAAAAAAAAAAAAACAAAGACAAACAAACTTGCCAAGAACAGCGAAGATAAATCAATGCGATTTCTGCGACTCAACGGGAGGATCTTGCCAAACTTCAGGCACTGGCTCAGAGATTGCGGAGAAAGCGGGGACTGTGGAGACTTCTCCTGGCCACGTGACACGCATGCACTCAGCAATTGTCACAGCACACGTCCTGCCTGGTTGCCACCTCTTGTTGGGCTGACAAGGCCCGCAAGAGAAGAGCCTGAGAAATGCGCCAAGCTGGTGCCACACACATGATGCTCATTTCTCCAATTCCCTTCCTATGGTTTCCTTCCAGGACCTTGAAAAAATAAGGAAACAGGTACAGTCGCATACCTGGATGAAAGCTCTTCCCGAATTGACCGCAACAGAATTGACATTTTGGGCGCAGCATGTCCAGGCAGGCTTGTCCGACTTGCCCTGCAACGCCCAGAGCATGCAGGACCCAAAGCATCGGGTCAAGCACGAGGGACAAAGAGCTCGACGCTTGTCTGGAATGAATGCCCTCCCCCAGACTAGCATGGAAGCTCCCAGATTTGTTTGGTCCATGTTACTTTGAGGGAGTGTATCTCCCTCGAATCAACTTCCTCGGCCCTTTGCCGCTTGCCAGTCATGGGGCTCAGACGAATCAAGTACCAGCCGAAGGCATGCTTCGCCTCGGACCTGGGAAGAGCGGGGCACTTTCCCGCACCAAAGGGCCTCTCACTCGCAAGAGTCGCCGGCAGAAAGCTGGGAAGAAAAAAAGAAGAGTTTCCTACTTGAACAACCCCTTAGCAACACAAGTCACGGGCCCAGAGATTGACTAAAAAACCCTTGGAGGAACGTGGATGCGACTCTGGGGAGTGCGCTCCTGCTCCTGCTCCTGCTCCTCAGTTCCTTCCTGCTCCTGGCAATCATTTCCGGCTGCGTGCAACAACTGCGGCTCTCGCTCTGCATGCCACCAACCGCAAGTGAACCAGAGTTTTGACCCCCATTTCGACGGTGCTTCTCTCATGCTGCACCTCTAGCTGCCGAAAAAGTTCTCTGAGGTTGGCCCAGCCCACCATCTTCGCAGATCTGGCCTCTCCGTCCTCCACGGTTGCACGCGTGCTGCGCCTTGCCTGGGCAAGGAGAAGCGCCACAAGCAAAGAATTTGAACCAAACAAACGGAAGAAGACGAGGAGTTCAACAAAACAAGCCAAGGACGAGAAGCAATAACGACGCGAGCAGTCTTGCTTTTTGGGGACCCCAGACATGGCTTCGGCTTTCCTTGTATTTTCCCTTTAAAACCAGCCAAAAACTCAGATGCCCAGTGGCCATGGGAAAAGAAAGGGCATCCTTCCTTTGGTTGGTTGCCTTTGAAGGGGAACTCCCCCCTAAAAGAAAAGAGGAAAAAAGGGCACCACTGGGGAACTGGGAAACGAGGCAGCGAGACTCACACAACAACCTAGAGCCCCAGGCGGGGGAGCTGCCGCAACTGTGCAACCTGGGCTGACGTGTCGGCCTTTGCGGCCTTGCGACCCCGCCCAGGAAAAAGACACGCTTAAAGCTTAAAACCATGGGTGTCCTTTTAGGGGAAATAGATGGATTTTTGTTGGTAGATGATTAAACCGCCAGGTAAACCAGGAATCAGGAATCGCCATCTAGTTTTCTACCAAAACTACCAGAAAGGATACCTAGTTTCGGGGGGAACTTTCTGAAACAGATGCCCTGCACCTTTTTAAGTGCTGGCTGAAGCCGAAGACGTCTCGACCCCCGTGTTCAAGGCCATCCAGCCCTATTCTGCTTCAAGGCCATCGCGCGAATGGCTGGTTTTTGGCCCGGCTTCCCTCCGGCTTACACTTTACACGGGCTAATCCAACTCACTCAAACACTAGTCATAGGCATAGGTTCACCAACTGCCCCAACCCGCACAGCAGGCAATTACAGCAGGCATGGATGCTCATTGTGGGTTGGCTGAGAAAAGAAGTTAAAAATACGGTAAGAAGCCATGTTCAGCTCGTGGTCAGCCATCCGTTGGGGAGCTGCGACGCACTGAGCTGCACGCTGGTAAGCCGGCGAGGCCGGCGAGGCCGGAGAGGTCGGAGAAGGGGCCTGCGAAACAGCCGCAGCAACGGCCGGGTACTTTCAGCGCTAAGCATCCAAGCTTTGGCTCATATGGGTCCCCCCCTCCCGATTTGCTATAGGTTGGGGGGGGGGTGGGGGGGGCACGTTCTTTCCTTGCTTTTGCGCAGTGTTGCGTCAGCTCACCTGGCGCCTGGCCGATGCCTCAGGCCGCGAGGCAAGTGACACGTGGATCAAACAAGTGCAAGGGATGCGAAGGCAAGGCAATTCAAGCAAGCAGATAGGGGCAAGAGAAGAGGAGCAAAGAGAGGCAAAGACAGCAACAAAGGGTGAAAGAGCAAAGAGGGTGCGGAGGAGGAGGTGGATGAGGGGGGTGGCGGTGAGGAGGAGGCAAGCAAGTATGGCAACATGCTGTCGGGCCACATCCAGGGCAGCCATGAGCAGCATCCGCCCGCAGATTGCTGCGGAGCCGGGCTTGTGGGGCGAAGTGGCCGGCGAGGGCCTTGGGTGTTTGGGCCGCTGATAACCCATCGGCATACTTGCTCAGTTCTGCAACCTTGCCAAACCCAGAAATGCGCATGTTCATCCTCAGTTTGTCCCTCATAACTTTCAGCATGCACATTGACATGGTTGCGTCTGACACGCGCTGAGCCCCTGGCAGTTCCGGCATGCTGCAGATCAAGCCCTAAAGGGGCTTCTACATGGCTGGGCCCTCTGCTAACCTGACTTGAAGGTTTTACTACATAAGGACTGCTCACCCAAAACCCTTTGTTCCTATGGGGAGCGGAAGTGAGCTGGCAAGATCAGCCGCTACTGCACCTGTTGATTTGTGCGGGAAATCTTCCAAGGCCTAGTCCCCCATTCCTCTCCTAAGTTCCCATAGGCCACTGGATATGTTGATCAAGCCTCAAGTGAACCAGCGGAGCATTCAGCTCCCATCTGCAACGACAACCAAGCGAAGTTGAGCACTTGGGCATGTACCATTGCTTGAAAGAGCCAGCGGCTAGTTCCACAACGAATGCTGCAAGACACGGCAAGGGGTTTGGGTGGTCGGATTGGGTGGTCGGATTGGCTGGGCGTGAGCTTGCGTGGTACATGCCGGAACTACTGGGGGAAGCAGCCCAAAGCGGCATGGAAAGCAGGAGTCATAGGGGTCTACGCACTTCTCGCCTGGCCCTCACATGTTCCGGAAAAAGCTGATGGAGACTATGGCAACCGTTTGCCCCTTGTGCAACCCACCAAAACAAGAACACAAGGGGGGCCGGCGCCCATCCCCTTCGGGTAAAACAAGCGCCCTGCCGGAATCCATTGTTGCACCTCCAGCAATTCGCCCGCGAATTCGCTTTCGCTGCGCGGTGAAACTTCCGCTTCCCTCGCATCTCATGAGGCCCTTGCCTTACGTGGCACGCAGCACAGGAATAACAGCAACTCGGACCAGTTCCTCAGTGGCTTTCACCGATGCAACCACTTAGCCACCAATAATCTGACCGGCTCGCTATCGTGCAAGCTGCCTACATTGCTAGCTTTGCTCAACAATTCATTCGCGGAGCTAAACGACTTCTATGGATGGCGCTTGAAGGGAAGAAGGATGAGAAAGGGAGCGCTTGCACGGGAGCACATTCCAAAATATAGCTGTTATGTTTGAAACGTCCGCCTTCGCCGGCTTTGGCAAATGCGCGATTCGTATAATTATGTCACATGGCGGAGAGTATTTATTGCCAGCCCCTCGTATCATGCCGCTGGATTAATATCATGGCCATCTTCGGTCTAAAGTGAAAATTGAACTTCGCTGCCAAAAACGCAGAAACATGACGTCTTTCCATCCCGTCGGGGTGGATGACTGGCATTGTTCGCCCCCCCACCCCCCACCCCCCACCCCCGTGCCAACCTGACCCAGCTTTCCATTCCAAATCCAAGTGCTCACTGTGGGCTCTTCTCCGGAATGACTCTGGTTGCAAAGATGCAATGCCTCTGGCATCTATCTGATTGTGGGTCCAAATTTAATCACCAGGAATTGGACCGCAGGTTGTAGTCCAAGTTTCCACTTACCAGGGCAACCCATTCATTTTGGGTACATATTTTTGACCCACTGCCATCTTGGTCTTGGCTTTCTGGGTGACCGCGCCAGAAGCCGCAGCGAGTCGCCGCCCTTCTGCGCCAGGGCCACCATCAGCAGCCCAGCCTGAGTCCCAGCCCATCTTCATGAAACGAGGAAGCTTGGCCCTTGCCAGCCTTTGGCCCTGGCTTCCTGGACCCCCCCAGCCCCCAGAAGTGGTGGGTTTTCCGCGCCTCCAAGGTGTGGCCATCCAGGCTGCAAGCCTCTACCTCAGCACAGCCGTTGAAGAAATCCCCCGCCATTTCGACCTAATGTTAACCCCGGATTAATAAACCCCTGGTTGATTAATAGGGGGGTGTCCCCTTTTGGTGGGGATTCATCACTTTTGGAGGGAACAACCCCCTGATAATGGGACGGGTTTGCTAATCCTGGGTCAACATTCTGCGAAGTGAGCGAAATAAACGTCACCTCGCCCTCAGGTCTCACAAGGTGGGGAAATGTCTCCGTGGTTCCAGTCCGCCGTTCGCTCTACGAATGTGAAGCCCGTCCCCAGCCGCTCAAACTGAAAGCCGCCCTTGAACCCAAAACTTGCCTAGGTCCTCCAGTAGAGAGCTTAGAATAAGGGTACCCTTTTTTCCGTAGTCGATTTTAGTAGGGGAACCCTCCCTCCAAAAAAGAAACGGTAAAAGGGCACCTAGCTGGGGGACCCAGTTGCGTCCGTCGGCTTAAGCCCTGGGCGCCGGAAGCGTAGGCCGAGGCGTCTGGCACCGCGGAGGCCTCTGGCCGCAGGTAGGCCATGGCCAGCTGCCAGAGCGCGCCTGCCCAGCGGCGAATTTGTTTTGGTTGGTTGAATTTCCTGCAAAAAGTTTAACTTTTTGCAAACAAAAAGAAAAGGTGGAAAACACTTTTTTCCCCAAAGGTTAAAGTCTAAAGATCCAACCCAATAGCAGTCAAGTTGTGTGTTCAGTGGAGTCATACCTGGGCTGCCCGTTTTCTGATCCCCCGGCTAAAAGTTGCATCTGACCTTTAGTGGGCGAAATGGAAGCTACCACTAAACACCAAAAGGCTAAAAAGCTCAGGGAATGGGAGCCACCAAGATAATCAAAACCTGTTTCTTTTATGGTCGGACCAGAACCATGTAAAGAATTAATATATTTCTGGTTGGGACTCACCCTTACTAACATTCATCTACCGGTGACCTGATCAGTTCTCCAAACCGTTCAAGGTAAGCAAAAGAACACCAGCCCTGGCCGAGCAAACCATAGCATTTCGGGTGACATGCTGAGGCCATGCAGGAAGCACAACAGGTCTTTCCATGCTTTGCCCTGCCTCTGGCGCAGGAACGGACTGCCAGGCCAAGGGTCACCCAGTTTGGCCTCCCAAGGAGCCATGTGCAGCACAAAAGCAAAAGCCTGAGCACCCTGCAAAAACGCCGGTGTCGCACGATTCGAACGAGGCCTGCAGCCCTGCCCTTGCATCTCATCCTCAGAATGCTGTCCCGGAATCACTGAAGCCTTGTGACTCAGCTGGGCTGATAAGAACCAAAAGAAGCAAGCTCAGAGTTCTGTTCCTCGAAGGCATTCACTTCCCAGTCGGCTCGCTGCGAGTTTACGGTGGCTGTAGCATGGGTTGATGTGTTCCTTTTGCGTTTCAGACGTCTTTGGCCTCTCGCTCTCTCTCTCTCACTCTACACCATCGGCAAGCTGTCTGCCAGAGGTGGGGCACCATCTATGGCTTATTGCCCACGGCATCGGCCCCTCCTGAGGCAGCAGCCACGATGGTCAGCGCTTTCGGCCACTGGCGAGCAACTTCGCAGGCAGCTGCGGCAGCCTCGTGCGACTGGCATGGCTTGGCGCAGGTTGGTGCCAAAGGCCAGCATTTTGAGGTCGTCAATGGATACCCTTCGCTCGTGAGCTAATGGCTCGTATGAGTTGAGTGTCATTGTTTGGTGGGGTGGCTTGGCCACACACTCATGCTGGGCCGTTTCTGTTCCTTTTGCCTGCTTCAACCTGTGGCCCTACGTCAACCTGTGGCCTGAGTGCTGCTTACATCCAACTCGGGCCACGGCATTGAAAAGGTAGGTGTCAGGCCTGCAGGAGGGCATGCAAGGCATCTGTCGGTAGCAACTAACCGAGCTTGTCGTGTCTGAGCTTGACGACGTCAAGCTGAAATATCTTGATTTGGATCACAACGGAACCGCAACTGGTCGTACGTCGTGCATGTCCGTGGGCGACGCTGAGAAGCTAGGAAGCCAGCTGCAAAGCTCCTGCCACAAGATCGAAAGCTGGTGCCGTTTGCCAGAAGTGCCCTTCAAACACATCCTCTTCGTCGGCATCCCCCACGATTCATGTGAAGCAGCAACGTCGACTTGGCAAATCTAAGCAGAAAGAACAAGCACGGGTGGTGGCAAACCAGCACAGCCGGACACAAGCCAGGAACGTCGCAACGGCAAGTCTGAACCCGGCAATGTGCGCCGGCTAACCAAGTTCAGCCCGCCAGGGCGGGGAATCGAACCCGCCTCTTCCAAAATGGACAGATGCGCCCCATGGCAGAAGCAAAGCCGCGAGGTGAGCTGTCAGGGTTCAACTGATTGACAGACGCCGTGCAGCTGAGCGAATTCTGAGTTTCACTAGTGGGACAAAGGTTTGGCCTTTGGGCCCATGGGTTTGGGCTAGGCCTGTAACTTGATGCCCCAGGCAGACTGGAGCAAGCTGTTTGCCGAAATCACAAAGGGTGGGCAAGACAAAGCAAACTCGTCTCCTGAGTGGCTGCCACTCCGCATCCCAGTCCTGAGCGGATCCTGCTGAATATCACCAAGGCCTCAGCTGCCACTGCTGCGGTCAGTGCATGTTTGCTCAGCTGGGTCTTTCAATCCTTTGCGGGCCGCCTCAAAAATCAAGACAAACATTTGTTCTGTTTCGTTTCCCCTTCCCTTGTGCGAAGGCCGGCAGTCAACACAATATAAAGAGAGGGTTTAATCGCCAAGAGTGATGAGGCTCGAGGCCCCTGCCCACTCCCATTGGCTGGCCATCGCGCATGCGCTCGCTGCAGCCTCAATGTGGCCGACAGACTACCTAGGATTGGCTTAAGGGATCTTTGCATTTTTCTCCAGAGCCCCTATTTAATCTAGGTTTGCCCAGTTGGGGAGTACGAATCATTTCCTTGATCTATCAACTGGCTTGATTTGAATCCGCAAAAACCTGCTCCTTGTCTCCCATAGACTGTCTTTGACAAATTGACCAGGTTGGAGGTTTTTAGGTACCCCAAAAAATGGCCCCAGTTTTGCCCCCCCCCCCCCCCCCCCCGCAACAGAAACGTCAGTTATGCTCTGGACATTTACACGGAACCGAGCACAAGGGAGTCCAAACAGAAGGAAGACTCTTCTTTAGAAAAAGCAGAGTGCAACAATTGGTTTCGCAAATTGTTACGCGGAAGGTGGGATTGTGAGAGCATATTTGCTGCTTGGATGTTGCGGGGGCCTCAACATCAAACCTCCGAAAAGGCTTCTTCCAGAACAAGGATTGATCCAACCCTCGGTTTGGAAACTATCCGAGCGGTTGAATATCCTCTTGGGAAACGTTTTTGGGCAAACCAGCAATACGAGGTTGGTAAGTCAGTCATTAAGCGCCGAGCGGTGTAAGCCATCACGTCCAGGCCCAAATGCGCGTCCTGTGCCTGAGTGCACGATCAACCATTGTTTGAAATGCTATGCCATGCCGGTATGAGAATATTAATACATACATATATATATATAAAGAACAACCCCCCCGGAAAAAGAAAAAAAAAGGAGAAAAAAACAAAACCAAAAAAAACAAAAACAAAAAAAAAACGCGGGCTCACAAGCGCCCTACCGGACATGTACTCACTCATCCCTTTGGATGCCCCGGATACCAAAACTCCCCCCAGTCCTCCGCCAGCAGATGTAGCGCCCAATCCCACTTCAGGCCTTGCGCCATGGACAACGCGCTAGCGGAGAACATCGCCCCCAAAAGCCCCAAAATTCCAAGCCGGGTTCAAAATGAGGGGATTCGAATCCCCTCATTCCAATGATGCTCCATGATCTGTGGCAAGGGAAGCACTACCACAAGGGAAACCCACTACCAACTGATAATACAGGCTGCCTCGTGAGGAAAAAACAAGGCCATGGGATCGGCAAACTCGAGTTCGACTCTCCGGCTCGAGTAGGATTTAGGTCCTCCAGTGGAGAGGTTAGAATAAGGGTACCAACTTTTTTCTGTAGTCTATTTAGCAGGGGCAAAAGGGCACTACTGGGGGACCTAGGAAATCAAGAATCTGCCTGAAGGAAACTGTGCCTTGGAAGGGTCCCCTAACACTTTGAGCCCTCCAACATTTCTGGAACAGCTCTCGCGAATGGCGCGGCCTGGGTGCCGGGCACTTTTCGCATGCAGTCAGCATTGTGGCACCTTGCATCGTCAGCCATCCCATGGAGGTCAACACTACCCATGCGTTGCGGAAATGGGCCCCCGCACATGACACTACGTCAGCGTTGAGTCCTGGCCAACGTGAGGGCACATCCACATATAAGTGTCTCCAAATAGGAATCGGACCCCTATCGGATGGTTTTCAAAGGAAACCAGAGAAAAAAAAGCATCCACCTGGGGTCCGAATCCAATTTTGAGAAACGCCCACAAAGCTGGACTCATCCAGGCCTCGGCTTTGCATCGCCCGGAAGACCGCCAAGGCCTCGGCAACAGCTCCGGTCAAACCTTCGCCAGCTGCCCCTGAGCCGCTCTTTTCGGCCGCTCCTGTCGCCATTCGGCGAGCTCAAGCACCCCGCGCCGTGAGAGCTACGGTCTAAACTGAAAGCTACGGAACGTGACCGCCGAAGGCGCGGTCTTGCGGAGTCCGGTTCGAAGAGGCGGCTCGGCCATGGCCAAATGATCCGAATCAACTCGAAGGTTCTCTGCGTCCCACACATCATACTTGAATGTTCTCTGCGTCCCCTAAACAAAATCATCACCATCGCATCAACTTGTCTATCCTTTGGCTCTGGAAACTCATCATTTTGATCGCTCCCGTGCCCATCTCAGGGCTCCAAAGGTCCCAGGCAGTCCGAAGCCCGGCTGTTCCGCTGCGACGTGCTGCCCTGGCAGGGTGCTGCCAAGAAGCTTAAGCTTTCAGTTGGCAAAAACCGCCAAAAACGTCCCAACACTCAGGTTGGTCGCATGTTGAGCAGCTGAGACGTGAGTTGCGCTAAGCTCCTGCCTCGCTATTTTTGGCCTCGTCCAGCAGGTGTAGGTCGTCCAAGGCCGCGCGCTGCTCGTCCAGCAGCTCCAGCCACCGCCACACCAGGCCCACGTAGCCCTGAGAAACACGTGGGACCCCAAACGGTGTTTTTCTTCTTTTTTTTCTGGGCAGCAGCGTGTGCTACATAATGTTAACCCGGATTGATAAACCCTGGTTGATTAATAGGGGGGTGTCCCCTTTTAGTGGGGATTCAGACCACTTTTGGAGGGGACACCCCCCAATAATGATGGGACAAGTTTATCAATCCTGGGTCAACATCAGTGGGTAGCGGGACGTAGCATGTAGCATTATGAAAAGCAAGACGGCTACATACAAGAAGGCCACAATCACCTGACTATTCCTTTCATAGTACGGTGACGGTCTTGCCCCCGGCATGAAGAAGTCGTTGGCAAGTTGGTTTCAGCAATCACGGTTCTCACAACTCTGGCTGAGGACCCTGAGTTGTTCACAAACAGACGTGTGGTTTTGTGGAACCCTCATCTTACTTTGTCTCCATGTAAGTGCCCACGGAACATGTTCGAAGCCGCCTTGTTGCCCCCGTGCTGTTCGCTGTCGTAAGCCTCCTCCATGTCTCCCCTGCCAAATGTGACCAGCCGGCCGTCCTGGGCAAATCGCTAAGACGAGAAACGGTCACTCCAGCGTTGGCACGGCGAAATGGGCGGCCACCCTTTCGGCCCGCATGTGTAAAACCCAGTTGGCTGGATCACATGAAGAGTGATCATCCCGTCCAGAAAAAGACGCATGTTTGCTTTTTTGGGGGGTGGTGTGGAATTGCCATCTGCCAGTAGAAGCTAGAGTTCACCAGTTTTGTGCCAGGCAAGCCCAGCACGTGTCAGGTGCATGGCAAAGGCCCTTTCCCCGCACCCAAAGGACGCAGAAATAAAAGTTTTTCGTGGGTATTTGGTTGAATGTGGGCCAAAATAGGACAGCCAAAAGGGCAAAAGGTCAAAAGGCACCACGCAAAAGCATCGTGTTACCTGCCGTTTCATGCATTTTTACTCGGTTGCGTTCTGCTCCCCTGCTACAAGTTTAACTTTTAGTGGTTTGATGGAAAACCCACTAGTTGCAAAAAGTCCAAGTTTAACGTCCAAGCAAAATGCACGAAAGTTTAATCCTCTCACTGCGACATCTCCTGGGCATCCAGGACCACCAGCGCCGGGATCGCCTTCAGTTCCCAGCGCGCCGTCACCTCTTGCAGTCGCTTCGGCGACCACCGCGAGGCAAACATCGGCCCCAGTCGCCTGTGCCCGCGTACGTGGGCTCGTTCCCCGTTAAAGTGGGACAGAGCGCCCGCAACTCAGCTTCCCCCCAATTGGATTTAAAATTATGGTGGTTCGGTGTTCCGGGGCTTCCCATTTGTCTGCCAGAACGGGTTCAAAACCAAATCCAAACCCGCTGACCTCCACCAATCCAAACCACGAATTGGGAGTTTCCAACTCTTTGCATCCAGGCCTAAGGTGGGCTTTGAACGCGTCCTCGGAAAGATCGCAGGACACCCACACCTGACTTCTCGATTTGAAGCGAAGCAAAGGCATTGGAATGCTGAAAAGCGACCCCAAGGCTCAGAAAAAAAAAAGGGAAAACAAAAACTTCAAGCTTGCCAAGTTTGGCGGGAGACGAACTCCATGTCGGCACGCTCTGGCAAAGATTTCAGACTCGCACACACATCCCGAAGGACATTGTCAAACTCAGCGCAAATGGGACACCAACGCCCAGAGAAGTAAAGCAGCACCAGCTTGAGCGTGTTCGGAAGGACTTGCGCCGTACTTATAGAGCACAGCTTGTCGTCTACATGCGTCACACTGCCCTGCGCGGCCTTGGCATTGTCCTTGACCACAGCTTTGCTCAGAATGAGGTCCTCCCCAAGCACTTTGCCCCAGTCAATGGGGGCCGGGCGTTCGACCATTGCAGTTCATGGGACACTTGGGCCCCCTGCACCAGCCAGACTGCGGGCGATGAGCCAGTCTCAGGTGGTAAACCTTCAAGGTATGGGAAACACGGCTGCTGCATCATCAAGACCTGGCACTCATTCCCTTGAATTGCTGGCTGCATGCATCAACAAAGTGGCATGCCTGATTTGCCGGCTGCCCTATGTTCAATCGAAGCCAGGATGCACCAGCAAAACACGTTTCGTTGGCAAAACCCCTCGTGCGCAGGCGCCAGTCAGCAAGCCTAACATTGGCATCAGGCCCCGACGCTGGACCACTGCCGTCCCTTCTCACAGGCGCTGATGACCTTTGTGTACCTGACGCCACGGACAGCTCAGACGAAGTAAAAGGGATGGACAACCAAGCACAAAGAAACCTTCCCGGCTTCACCGTGAAGAGCGCGCTCCCTTCCAAATCTGCAGCCCAATGGTAGTGGTCTGGGGCACGTGATCTCATCCAGGTCTGCACTCCGTTCCAGCCCCTCCCGGCAATGCAACTGAACATTAGGCAGGTGCCAGACAACCACAGAGCACAGTCTTTTCCATCCATGGCAAGTCGAAAAGAGTCATTCCAGATTCCCTTCTCTGGACGCAACCAGTCCCTCAAGCGCTGAAGGGTTGCCAGAGCTTAAATGCACACAAGGCGAGGCTTGAACAGCGTGGCTGGAGAAAAACCATAAGCCAACAGCCCCAAGCCGCCTGAAGCTTCCTGAAACCCCTCAAACCCCTGAAACTCCCTGAAACCTCCTGAAACCCTCCGGAACCCCCGGAACCCTTCCGTGAAAGCTACCCCAAGCCTCGCGCAGCAACTCCACTGCCTCCGCCCACCGCCTCGCCTCGCGGCCGAGCGCGTGTGAAAACGCAGGCGGGAGAACGCATCCTATGCCGCGCACGTTGGTTTGAAGGTGGGGAGGTTTCCTCAAGCACCAGGGCTTCAAATCCCACCAAACAAGGGATTGCCTGAACCTTCGTTGGATGACCATCTTGAGGAACGCTTGCCGGGGCTCACAAAAACTGCATCCCCTCGGGGAAGGAGTCCAACGCTGGGACCGGTTTCAGAGGCGGGGAGCCGAGGATGGCTCAACTTTGCTTCGAACTTCATCGGGCCCCTCGAGGCTTGCTTTTGCAATCCCACAACAAGGAGCTACCAAAGAAAGGAGAAAGGCCTACCTCGCACTGGCAATCTTATACCACTAGAAGCAAGGTCCTATCATCACGAAAACAACTCGCCCACTGCAAGTTGGGTTTAGAATGTTTGCATCACAGCCCTCCTGCTGGAAATTCGTTGGGCATATCGTTCCCAAGCCTTCTCACAGGCGCCAATAGCTGCGCTCAGCACGAAGCGGTCGGCTGCAACTTGCCTTGCAGGACAGGTTTGTCCCAAAACAATGGCCCTGCCTGGCTCATCTGTTGGGAATTGCCCGCTAAATATTGAACAAATCATGCCCGACTGTGGGTAATCCCCGGATGGTTCAAACGCAGCACTCGCTTCTGGCTAGCCCTTGCTCGTGATACTGTGTGCAGTTCTAAAGGATCAATTCAATGGACCTGACGAAAGACAGCGCCTCGGCAGAGTCGACAGCAACCACAGCGCGACGGCCTCATCCAAGGCGGAGGCCCTCTTTATCCACTCAAGAGCGCGGATGTCGACCCCAGATTTCATAAACCTCACAATTAGCAGTCAGGGAACAAAAAACTCCACTAAGAAGAGAATCCCCCGATTAACAAGTAGCGGGTGTTCCAATCAGAAGGTCAACCTGGAGTGGTGTCCCTAAGTCAACCTCGTGGGAAATATGCCTGGCTTGTCAACGAGCTCCCAGCTAAAGTATTGAGACTGCCACTCTCTTGCTTGTCCATGGCAAAAGGGGTTCCACCCAAGTTACACCAAACGGAGACCATGCTCTTGAAGTCTTCGAACTGCTTGACGCACTCCTCTCCAGAACTCGTTGGCGGCACGAAATGATTCCTGATTGAAGCTCCTGGTTGATTCCGCGAAACATCCGGCCTGGAACGAAGCCGAGTATAGGGGCGAATCCGAGGTCCTTAAAATCAATCGATTGAACTGTTAAGTCAAGCAAGCAAGCAAGCAAGCAGGCAGGCAGGCAGGCAGGCAGGCAAGCAAGCAAGCAAGCAAGCAAGCAAGCAAGCAAGCAAGCAGTCCACTGTTGGTTTTGAAGGGCCCGTCACCGGAAACACAGTGCTCGCTGCTTGATCTTATACGCATTGTTTTGTTTTATTGTGTGTTTTATTTTTTTTTAGAAATATATAAATATATAAATATATATTCGCAGCAGCTCAACATCTCCACCGTCGATCGCGTCGCGCTTGGGCCCCACCATTTCACTGACGTGCATTCAACCACCCGGATCGCGCAGGCCTATTGCCCAGCGGCTTGAAGTGGGTGTATCTCTTCGCCGGGAACCCCCCTTCTGGTGGCTTTAAAGGGAAACCAAAAGGAAAACCACCAGTTTGATCCTTTTCTTTTGGGGGGGGGGTAGGGGGCTCCCTACTCTTGACACACCCAGATCTGTACAAGCTGACACCCGAAGAAGCCGCAGAAAGCAGCTGGCCACGTCTCGGCCACGTCTCTTTCTGGTCTTTCTGAGCCCTGCAACTTGGCCGTGTGAGACGGTGTCGAAATCAGCACAGCGGGAGAGCAGAACTGTGGGCTTCTGTCTGAACTTCCGGCTACAACGACCAATGTGCAAGCTGATCTCATGCATTTCGACAACCGAGGCGAGGCTTCTGGCCCACCTTTCTTCAAATGCGATAGCAAACGACTGTGCAAGTTCTTAGACAAAGCTGAGAGGCCTTCATATCTTAGCTCTGGTGGGGCCATGTGGCAATGTTGGAAACTCTACTGACTACTGACCTACCTGCTCCAAGTTACCTGCTCCAAGTTGGGCACCGCCTAAACTCATCTCTGAGGCTTGGGAAGCTGCTCTGTTCATTGCCCGCGACGCTTTTGCCGCGCTCGCTCCCTGTGATACTCCAGCAGTTTCATGTAGCCTTAGCCAGTGAGCGAGCTGCAACTCGCCACTGAAGATGCAGATTAATCACTGGCCATCTGAGTGATGCATGCGCATGCTCAGGTTGAAGAGCATCCCTACAGGTAAGCCAGCGACCCTCTTCCGACATGGAGGCTTGGCTTGCAAGTGACCAATGTTTGGTCGCTTCCGGTGACACCTCCTGGTCAGACCGAATGTGAAACAAACGACGGCCAAACCGACCGCCAGCCCCAAGCCACCTCAAAACGCCCGTCCTGGCAGAAAGCTTCATGAAAGTGGGTCGCCATCCTTGGCTCAAGGCTCGGTCACGAGCCGAAAACTCCACGCGACGACCCAACTGACTTAAAGCCCTTGCTACCCTCCACACGGCCCATGTCCAACTTGCTGCCCGGGCACTGCGCCTCAGCGTGCGCCTGCCAGGACTTGGACAACGCCTCTGCAAGCACTGCAACGTGTTCCTTTGAGATGTTTCTCCTTCCACTTTGAGGTAGCCTCTTATGACTCAGGACCCTTTTGGGCGGTACATGCCCAATTTGCGCCTGCGGTCGCATGACCTCGCGCGGCTCCGCCGCTGGTCTGAACTCTGCGCTTGGCTCTGCAGGCCTGAACTCCGCGCGAGGCCTCACACGACGCCATGAAACCGACCAAATCTGGCCGCTGCTTTCGGCTGCAACTTCCTTTCGGCTGCTTGGCTCTGCATCTCGCACCCGCACCAACCCTACCCTTCAGCTGAGGCTCATTGCGCAAGGGGGCTGCACGTGCGCAGCGGAGGTGCCGCGCCGGCCTGGCAAAAGTAAACAAAACTAGGGCCAACTTACCTACCCCAAATGGACATACCCCCACCAAGGGCCTTATACAGGGCTGGACTTTGGGGCATGTACCCTGCACAACCCATGTATAACCACATTGTTTGAGATATCCAGTTGGGGTATGTAAGTTGACTGATAGACATGCGGTGGGCTTATCTCGTAGGGGAAGCGTCAAGTTTTGTGGCTTCCTTTTTGGTTTCCCTTTGAAACCAACCAAAAGAAGGAATAGCCTTGCCAATGTGTTGCAATGCCGCGCAACAGAGTTGTGCCTCACATATCAAGATCTGCTCCCTAAACTTGCTATTTCGGTGACGGTCAGAAGCAAGTGAACTCAGGCCCTAGGTGCTGCTGATACGATGGACCAAACCCTCGCAATGGAAATATTGGCTTCTCCATAATGTTGAACCAATTTAGGGGGTGTCCCTAGGTTTTGTGGGGAATCATCACTTTTGGTTGGAGGGGAACACCCCCGTATTCATAAACTGGGTTGACTACTATGGGGGCAACCTCACCGGCGAGTCCTTCCCACTCGCCAGGCCTGGCAGTGCGCCGCTGTCGAACCCTTCCTCGCACGCGCTTTGGCGCGCTTCGTGGTAGAGACTGCTGGCCTCGGCTCACAAAGTCCAGGAACGGCAAACGCTGATTCTCAGCTAGTGTCCGTGGGACCCAAGGAGCTCGCAAACCCAGGCATGTCAAAATGGCAAGTCTGAACAGGAGGCAAAGCGTGCGTCCATGTTTAACGGCAGCAGGTGGCAAGCCAGTCCAGCCAGGGCAGGGAGGGAATCGAGCCCCCTGCTTGCACCCACATCCCCACCCCGTCACGCCCACTTTGTGTGCATGATCTTGCTGACCACTCCCCCGAATCCGATTTCACACCGAACCCTTCGAACTGCAGTTATCCATTCCTTGGGACCGACTCGCAAGATGAATAAACCCGTCCCATTATTGGGGGGGTGTTCTATGAATCCGGGGTCAACATTAAGCAAATGAGTTTGCTCCATATCCGAGGCGCAGGAGGCTGGCACAAGGCCCGCCGGTCTCGGCTCCTCTTGCACTCCGCGGCCCAATGCGCGATGCAAAGACGCCCACAGCAACGCACGCGCCGTCCTCACGTGCGCATGGCGCGAGCCAAGTTATGTTTCAGTAGCAGCGTGGCCTTCATGATTCAAATGCTCAGAACACTTCAGCGGCCGGAAATTACATGGCTTTCAGCACGTTGACAACTCACTGCTGATGGGGCATGTGTCTGTCGAAGTGAGCGAGCTGCCCATGAGGGCACTGAGCACTTGAGGGCAAAAGATAAACTTCTGCCAATCATTGACACATGGATCCCTCCGTGTCATGTCATGGAGTTGCCCTGCGAATGATGCATGGACCAACATGCTGAGACAATTGCAGCTCAGCGTCTCTGCAGAACGTCCACACTGAGAGAAGCAACTTTCCTCAATCAATCGGATGTCTCGCGGGGGATGACAAGCTTGCTTGGCTGACTGTGTGTGTGCACAAGCTTCTCCACGTCTCCAAAATAGCACTTGCAAGCAACAGCGACGAACATGTTGCATCTTCCGCTGAAAAGCTTCCCTGCGCAATCCAAGTTTTGGGAGTTGATCAATGGCCACAGGCAACTTCTCCCATGTGAAGTCATCTTTGCTGGTTTCCAACGAATGGCCACCCCGTCTTCATCGCCCCAACCCCATTTGCCGCTGCAAAAAGCCCAAGGCCGTGAGACCGCCCCCTTCCAGCCCAGGCTGCGTGGCCGCTTGGCGCTGCCACTTGCAGCAGGCAGAAGCAGCAGTGCCAGCAAGCCACTTGGCGAAGGCAACCTGGCAGTGACCAAATGCGAGCTGATGGTTCCAGCGTCTCAGGCGCATACACACATACATGTTTTTTCCAACCAACAGGGTGTTGTTGATTGTCCACCATGCTCACAACTTCAAGCCCTGTAAAAAAGCCCTCAAGGTGTGCCGTGTTTTTTCGCCCGGATTTGTGGCATTTGCTCAATTTCCAGCGGTTGCAGCAGCGCGCGATTTCAACCCTGCACCTCACGAAAATATGCGGATAGTTTTTGCAGACAGCCATCCCGGGCTTGATGTTACTTAGCGTGCAGAATCCTTTGGCCCAGGCGGGCAGTTTGGATCAAGGTAAGTCTCTAGGGGTTGATTCCCCATTCTTTTCAACCATCGTTCTTTCCAAAAACGTTTTCCCTGGGTTTCTGGAGGTTTTCTAGAAAGAAGGATCCCTGGAAAGAATGGGGAAGGTACCCCTACAAAGGCTGCATGATGGTTTTTGCTGGTTGCGACAAAGGCTCCAAACAGCATCGCTGGTCTAATCTTTCTCACGCACGCAGCCCCCGGGAGCTCGCATGCAACGAGGTCTTGCGTCAAGCTGGATGGTGGCGAAGCGGACTGGCGAACCCGAAACAGTTTCAAAAGTGGATCCCAAGAAACATTTACAAGGGAGGGGACTGTTTGGGAAGGTGATTACTCAGCCTCCCTCAAATTGGTGGTTTGGATTGGTGGTTGGGTGGTTAAGGACAATTTCCCATTTCCCCTCTACAGGAAGGGGTTCCAACCCAAACCACAAAAATATGGGATACCTGAATCACAACCCTGAGGAGCATGAGCCAAACAAAAGCTGCCCGCCTCGAGGCTGCCTCTTCGGCCTGCCTGCTGGCGATTGCCTTGGGGAATGCAACCCGCTCTCCATGCCGAAATCTCAGGTGTGCGGTGTTCGTCTCATTGCTGGTGAGTGTTGTTTGTGAAGGCGTTGGCTCTTCCTTGGCACTGCCATGCCAAAGTTTAACCCCGGAGAGCAATAATACTTCGTCAACAAGCAATGAACACCTGCAAACCTAGAGCGTGCAATCCGTCCACTCGCACGAAGAACCTGACAGAAATTCCATCACCGGGCAAAACAGATGCTCCGTTCCGAGCTCGGGACGGCTCCATGAGTCCACCCTCCTCCGCCACAATTCACAACGGTCTCTGAGCAGCCCTTCCTCGGATCGTCCCATGGCACGGATCGGCCCACAAAGCCACTGGAGTAGATGTCAATCCCTGCATCGCAAGCTCTCCTTTTTTGACATGGTAACCGACCCAACCGAAGCGACCCGAACCAAGGTCCAGAAGCTGAGACAGTGCGCCTCCTAGGCCGCACCTAGATATCTCATTGCCGCGTCCAATCTTACAGGATCACTCCGCTTCAGGCTGGGTTGCATTGGTGGTTTGGAACTTTGGCCATGGGTCAAAATCCCGTACCCCCAACCCCCACTAAACTAGACTGAAATGGGTGGTGCATCTTTGGTTTTGACCCACTGCCATTTGAGCCCCTGGTTGTGGAGGGTAGATAGGAAGCCGCTCCTTATCCACAAAACCACCGATTCGGCTCCAAACCACCAATTCGAGAAAAGCTGCCGCCGCCTGCCTCCCAGAGTCAGGCGGCGCCCAGGAGAAAGAAAAAACAAGAGAGAGAAAAAGACAAAAACAAAAAAGAGAGACCCCGTTCGAGGCTCTGCGGCTTCGGCGCGCTCGTGCCAAAGGCATTGGCCCCGCTTGGACACCAGAAGCTGCCAGGCCAAAAGGCATCGCGCCAGCGAGGCCGCTGCCAGCTTGTCCACCTTACCCCCAACCAGCCCCTCCCATAATCGCGCGAGTGTCATGGATTTCTCCTCAAATGTGCTGATGCCAGAGCTGGCCAAAAGAGGAGCTTAGGCTGCCAAACGCGAGCTTTCTCGTGACTTCTCTCTGTGCCTTCCCAATTCCCTCCTCCGTGCCGTAGAGCTTACTGTGGCACTAGAAAAATCAGGATGTGGATTGCACGTGCCGGGTCCAAATAGAACAACTGTTTCCCACTCGTTTAACCGCTTGGTTGTAAAGACCCCAAAACAAAATGCGAACCTGGAATGCAGCACCACCGTGGGCCAACCAAAAAAAAACATGGCGACCCTTGTGACAAGGGGCAGTCTCCAGAGCCTTGATCGCAACGCGGAGCTTTGCCGCAGTTGTCTCCGCCGCAAACCGCACGGCTTGCGTCTCGTGCAAAGCACGGCTGTCTGCCCGGCCCTTGGCCGCTTGCCAGTGGAAGAAAGCTGCTTGGAGTTGGCAAACCTTGGCGATGAAAACGAGATAGCAAAACACAATAACTGAATGCGCGCTTACAGTTGTGAGCATCCCCTGCAAGCCGTGTACCCAAGGACAACACCTCCTTATCTTGATAATGGTCGGGTTGGGTTGGCCACTCAGAAATCGGCAAAAGCAAGACAAACAGCGAGAGCAAAAGCAAAGGCAAACCAACAGCGAAAGCAGCAGCGAAAGCAGCAGCAGCAGCAGCAGCAGCAGCAGGAGCAGGAGCAGGAGCAGCAGCAGCAGCAGCAGCAGCAGCAGCAGCAGCAGAAGCAGCAGCAGCAGCAGCAGCAGCAGCAGCAGCAGCGCCAGCAGCAGCAGCGCCAGCAGCAGCAGCGCCAGCAGCAGCAGCGCCAGCAGCAGCGGCGGCGGCAAGAACAGCGGCAGCAGCATCAAATCAAAAATATGCAACGGCCTAAAAAAAAACGATACTTTTGGCCTTGCCAAATCTTCCAGCGGCTCTAGCCACAGGCAGCCGAAGTCTGGAGCCATGATGTGCCATTCTCCGCCTCTGCATCTGCAGAGAAGCGAAGTTTCGCCAGCAGTCCCAGCAGGCCTCGCACAAAAAGCACGGACATTTGGCACGGCACGTCGGCTCCTGCGCATACAAAACCCAAAGCCGGCTACAAAAATCCACACGGAACCCTCCCACAAAGTGCGAAGCCTAAAGCAACCGACACTCAGATGCCCAGTGGCCACGGGAAAAAAGGGCACCCTTTTTGTTGTTGGTTGAGTTTAAAGGGGAACCCTTCCCAAAAAAGGAAATTAGGGCACCACTGGGCAACAAAGTACAGGAACCCAAGCAAGCAATGCTGCTGCAAGTGCTTGCAATTATCAACTTCAGACTGCCACCAAGCTTCTGAAGTCAGCTCCTGCGCTTTTTCGCGCGAGCCGGGCAATGCACAAAATCTGCGCTTGGTCCCGTGTCCACACTGGGATCGTAGTTGCTCGTGTCTGCCAAAGCACAAACAGCTGCAAACAGGGTGAGCAAAATCATGCACTGCACAAAGCTTCGACTTAGATGAGAACTGCATGCTTGCTGGGGAGGCCATGCAAGAACCTTGCTAGCAGTCAAAATGCTCATTGTTAATGTCAAATGGCCCGGGGCAGCACGAAGGACGCCGCCCGTGCAAAAGAAAAGCGTCGGATGAACACTTTGTGAGGCAGATTCTTTCGTTTCATGCATGTTGTATGAAGGGCTCCTGCAGCCCTTCAGGCCGTTCCCTCGACCTCCCAAAAAATACTTCCCAACTTCTCAGCGTCTCCAACGAATCTTCGAGTCCGAGTCCCACGCTCCCCGCCGCGCTCCCCGCCTGCGCGGCGCGGGTTTTTTGGTCGCCGCGCAGCCGCTGCGCCAGCGCCTCCGCGGCGAAGGCCCGCCGCAGATTCGCGGCGCAGGAGGCCTCCGCCTCCTCCTTCAACGAGGCCTCCTCGGGCGGCGAGGTTCTCAGGCGAGCCGTGTTTTTTGGGGCAGCTGCGATGGGTTGCCTTTTTGAAGTTGAAAACCAACGAGATCTCTTGCCTTTTTCTTTTATTGGGGGGGGGGGAGGGGGGAGGGGGGGCGTCCCTCAAAAAAGACAAAAACGGCGGTGAACACGGCGGTTCATGTTGACCCTAGAGAAAGCAATAGGACGGGTTTGTTCATCCGGGTCTCGACATATCCTCAAGGTGGCCCGGTTTTGTGGAACCCGAGCTGTGTATCCAGAAAGGCCTTTGGCTTTCCCAGTTTCAAATCAAAACAACGCACCTGTTTGCTCGTCGCACAATACAAACGGCCACGACTGTTTCATGGAATTTCAACAGCCGTCCGCTTCACGGGACAAGCCGAGGAATCCTATAGGAACCCCATTTAGCACGGGCGACTTGCCGTCCCCGAATCAGGCTGACCACTACCCACAACCCCCTGGCTGGCTGGCTTGCCCTGAACAACGGCAGCCGTCCTTGGCAGCCATCGACGCATATTCCTGAAGTTGGCTCCCGCCTTGGCTCTTGAGCACAACGCCCAAAACCAACGAGCCAAACGCATCACGTGCTACGCACGCGTTTCAACACAAAGGCCCTTAACTATGGCGGTCCGATGCCGCAAGCTAATCAGCAAACACCCAGCAGGAATAATGATCCGATGACCTGCCTCTAGAACTCCTTCGAATGAAGAAGGGTCCCTGTGTTCGGAAAGGTGTTGCCGCTGTGGTTGCCACGGCCGCAACCGAAAATTGCAACGCAGAATGCCACTCATGCAGCCCAGATGCGCTCACACATCATCCGATGACGCTGGTGCAGCTTTTCCCACAAGCGGCTCTCTCGCACCGAGTAGGTTAAGGACAGGAAAGAGCGCTGCTTTGCCAATATCTTTGCAACACCTTGGCCAGGCTTAACTTGACACACCCCTAAGACGCGCCACGCTTTTTCGAGGAGAACAATATCTCTTTATCGGTTTGCCCAAAGCCCAGCCTTGGCCGAGCACCTCCAGCTGCTGTTGCAAGGCAGCTTGCAGCCGCTCGATGTGTGGATGGTTGAAGCCCATGAAGGACAAAAAGAAGCCCTGCACGCGACTCGTGAAGTCAGCCAAGAGCTCCATGACTGCTTGGCAGAGCTCCTCGGGCTCTTCCTCATCTTCCTCTGGACACCTGTGCTCCAACCACAGTTTAGAGTCTAGAGATCTGGTTTCGACATGCTGATTTTCCCTTTGGTTGTCCTTCAAAACCACCAAAAAGGTGGTACCCTCCAAAAAAAAGACACACCCATCAGCCGGCACAAAATAGAAGGCAGAGGCTGGCGGCCAGCTGTTCCCCCCGCCTGGGAGGAGACACAGCTTGCCGCACCCGCGGCGCCGACGCGCTGCGCTCGGGCTGCTCCGGACGCTCGCGCCGGGGGGACTGGAGCCGCGTGCTCGCGGCGTGCTGGTGTCGCTTGCACCGCCGGCAGCCCGCGAGGTGCTTGCAGCGGAACTGGGCGATCTCCGCACGCAGCGGGGACAGGGAAGCCCAGTCCTCCCTTGGCGCCATGGACCATCCACAGCCTTGAAGTGACAAAAAATCCGCAAAGCTTTCTGACTTGCGCGATTGAGTGTGCGACGTCCGTTGTTTGCGTCACGTGGCCGTGTATGTGTGTTTGTGCAGAGATCAAGCGGGTTCCGCGAGTGAAACCCGACACTGACATGCCTGAGCCTCATTTGCGGCAAGCCAACTTGCAAAAGCACGAAAGCAGTCATGGCAAATGGGCGGCGCCGAGTTCACGGGCGCTCTGGGGCACCAGCCCAGGCAGCGGCGGCGTCGCAAGCTGCCAGAAAGGCGGCGTAGGTATCCGCCTTTGGCCTGGCATCTCGAGATACGAAAGTGGCGGGTTGCAGGCTACAGCGCCCCTCTGACAGGGCCCCTCTGACAACAACAAAGGTCATGGCTCCTAGCCGAGAATTCGAGGCTTCCTTCGGCAAGTGCTTGGCGAAGGCCTGAAGCCGTCTTCCTCCAAAGCCGCCAGGAGCCACGACGCTAACCTGCCGCGTCGCAGCACCCACTGCGGGACCCCAAGGCGCGCGAAGGTCAAAAGACTGGGCTCCGGGCTGCCAGCGCGCGCCGCTCGCCAGGCTCCGCAGGACGATGTTGTAGGTGACCAGGTTGGGCGCGCGCATGTCCAGCAGGTGATGCAAAGCGCTCTGCCAGGAGCTGCCAATCGCGAGCGCGTTCAGGGCGGAGGAGTGGCTCACCACATTGGGCACCACCCCTTCCAAGGACATCTGCTGAAAAAGCTGCACAGAAGCAAGCCACTGGCTCCCCACGTTGCAGGCATTGATCGCGGAGCTGTACGTGATCACATCCGCCTGCAGGCCAACCCGCATTAGCAGTTCCACTGCCCACCTCCACTGTCCTGAGCGCTCGCAAGCGCCGATGGCCGAGTTGTAAGTGTACGTGCTCGGGCCCAAGTCGCACGAGTCATTCAAGATCTGAAGTGAAAGGTCCCACCGCTGCGCTCGGCCACAAGCACTGATCAAGGTGTTCATAGTCACCTGGGACCCGCTGGAAAATGACCTCCCCTGATTCGTCTTTGCCGAAGGCTTGGGGATAGATGCACATCTTAGGTCCTGCAAAAAAACAACAACAAAAAACAGCCAACACCGAGGTTTTGCTCACTCGCCTCATCACATTGCATGGCCGCCATCCTCATGTCCTGCAAGATTTGCACTGCAGGCTGCCAAGCCGAAGACCCCTCGCAGGCAGAGATGCCCACGTTGCACACGATCAAGTCCACCTGATCTCAAATTTCCATCGGACAAGGCGAAGTCTTACCACCCAACAGCCATCAACTAACAGCCATAACTGGTGCCCCTTGGCAAATGTCGCACAAGGCACAACTTGTATGCCAGTCGGCTCACGGGCAATTCGAGGATGTCTTTGCGAGCTGCTCAAAAAGGGGTCCGCCCCCCCCAAGTTGCAAGGGAGAGACGGGGTTGGGGGGCGGGGGAACCCCCGGTCGCAGTTCATAAGAGGCTGAACACAAAAGAATCGACTCATGAGGCGTGTCTTATCTTCATGCATGCCTTCCCATGCCACTGCCACTGGGTTCTTCCCGGCTTTGCGCACAATATGTGGTTGGGAAAGCTGCTGCTTCATGCGATCCTGCCTGTTCCGGCCGGTGTGATTCCATGTTTAGTTGTGCAAGACAAACAGCAACATCGACCGGGGAACACATCATGCTGAGCTCGACAAAAGAGTAGGCCGTGAAAGCAGGGTCAAAAACAGCGCACCAAACAAGCTGCCTGAAATGGGCTGTCCTCAAATCCCGTTTAACTTTTAGTGAGTTAAGCGGAACCCCCCAGTCAACCAACTAAAAATCTAAAATCCTTGACTGTGTCCCTGGCCGCCACCGGCTGCAATTGTTGAAGCCTCGCCTGGAGCGGAAACGCCTGTAGCAGGCCCAGTGCTGTCTGCCAAAACCGTTTCTTGCCCAGCGCGGCCATGACCATGCCCAGCTCCTACACAAGAAAAGTGGCTCTGGGTCATGAAAAGAGTCATGTGAGTGGTCAAAACTCCCAAATATGGCCTATTGGACGTTTTCCTTTAGTAGGAATCCTTATGATGGTCAAGGATTCTTACCATGCAGTGGACGACCATCCCTGCCAACCCCGAGTAAAAGGGTCGTTTCACCATGGCACATGTAATGAGTTTCCCCTATCCATCAGATCCTGTGGGTGAACGCCCTGTGCCCTGCGCCCCCAGGCACACTGTCGGCTCCTTGGGAGTGCGAATCACCTGCCCTGAGATCTGCGACCGCTCTCGCTCCGGCAGAATGCCGGACTTGCCTGCGAGCACGGACCACCAGGTTTGGGGGGTCCCACTTTCAGCCAGGGCCAACCGCCCTAACCCAGAAAGGACCAGTTTTAGGCAGCATCCACCCCCGTCATGATCGAATCATGGTTGGTGTTGCTTCGGCAGGCATGGGCACCTACCGTCAAGAAGGCCCTGTGACCACTGACTGACCTAGCTACTAACTTAGCCTCGGACTAGCTGACTACGTATCCGCCTATAGCTTACTGAGCTATCTACCTACTAGCAGACTAGCTGGCTGACTGGCTGACCAGGTACCTGCCAGGAAGCTAGCCAGCTAACCAGCCAACCAGCTAACCAGCTAACTACCAGTAGCTAGCTGCTATGTAGTCAACTTGACTTCACACATGCACTTGAAGAGAAAGACGCAGAACAAGTGGCATTGGCCAGGAACCGCCTCCCAACCTATGATTGCGGCATTCCGATTGAACATTTCCTGCTATGGACACATATGCATATACAATGTATGCGTGCGTGTGTAAATGTTTTCTGCATATGAACGTCTTACTTTTGGCCAGTTGTTCTGTTTGAAAAGTCCTTCAAGATATGCTAGACCCCCAACGGACTCGACTATCTTCACGATAGACGTGGCTAGGTACAGCTTGTCTGACTTCAACGATATCTGTTGCAGCCCTGGGCACATGAGCACAACCCCCAAACACGAGCCCTAACCATGACCCGGAACATGAGAGCTGATCGCGAGCCTGGACGGACATTCTTCAGCCGCTGCAGTACATCTTGTAATTTCAAAGGTGCAGCATCACGTCGCATCACATCTTCCAGCCTCTCCCTGGACCTTCTATCTGCCACCAGCCACCTGCAAGATGCGCCATTGAAGCGCAGCTCACATCGCCCGGCTCTACGGAAGAAATCCTGCACCGCTTGGGCAAACAAAATGTTATGGGAGTGGAGTGCGCCTCATGCCTTACCAACCTGGTGCAGGATTTCAATGTACGGTAGCTGAGGCAGGCTCGAGCTAAGAGGCTGCCTTCGAGGAATTGGACACAAAAAACAACAACAAAAAACAAGTCATCACACCACAGGCGAATTGATAGAAGCAAGGAAGCTTGGCATGTTCATCAATGGCCTGCCTTGCTGCGAACCAACAAAAAAGCACAGCGAGGCAAGTCACGAGGCGCTCCACATTTTTGCCATATCACAAGAAGCCATCATCACCTCGCCGCGCTCCGGAGCATTTGCAGCCTCGGACAGCAATATGAGCCACAAGGCTTTGCATTTGCGGCAGGAACATGCCCAAAGTGCTCTTGCTTTCCGAACATGCACGCGAAAGTAGAAGCATGTGCCAGCGATTTGTGCAGGTTCTCAGGCGCTTGACAGCCGGCTTGCCGGCGCCCAACCCCCCCCCCAAAAAAAAAAAAGGACCAGTGCAACGCCTTTCTTTTTCCTCACGGAAACACGTGCATCCCAGCGGCCATCGGGGCCATCGGGGCCCAAGAAGGCCGAAACCAGCAGACCCCCTGGCACGGGCACGGCTCGGTTTGGGTTTGGAGGGCGCAATTGCCGCCTCCGAGGCCCCGCATCCGCGTCATCAGATCTTCCTTCCAGCTGCCCTTCTGCGCCACCTGCGCAGTCCATGGCCCGCTGTGCGCCATCTTGGAACAGGATGTGAATCAGAGACCACCAAGTCCAAGCAAAATGCAAGCAGATGCCCCCAGTAAACATCCCCCAAAGTCCCGGAAATCACTGAACCAGAAACCTCACCCAGAACCCAGGCGACCGCCGACGGCCGGTCGCCTCGCAAATCACACGGTGGACATCGCCCACCTTGGGAGCCCCTAAGGCTTCAAGGACGCCTCTCAAGTAAAGAAACCCGCAAACGAACGAAGGAAAGCAGCCATCATCATGGTTCCTGTTGACCCCGAAAATGGGCGAGCAATGCCAACCATGAAGCCCGGACAGAGGATGGCCCTTGCTTGCTGATGAACCCCCTGCAACAAGTGAACAACTGTTTGTGGGCTCAATGGAAAGCCCGACATGATTTCCCAAAAGTGTTAAAGTCGAAAGATCCAACCCAATAGCAGTCATGACGTCCTCCCTTGAGAATCCACCTGAGTGCAATGGACTGCCCTTGGCTGACGACTTGTAACGCATCGTCAGGCCCAACATCTTGAAGCACAATAGTCGTACTGCTGAGCCTCCGCGCACATTCAACATGCGACTGGCAAACGGGATGCTTCACCATCTCCTTAGTAGTATGGCCAAACGGTTGAGCTTCGATTGTTCAGAAAGGGCCTTCTGCAGCGAACCGAAACAAAAAGGCAATGGGACGCAAGGTGACCTGCGAGATGACAAAAAAAATGCGAGCCCTGCTCAAGCTTGTTGCCTGCGCGATGCTTGTGCGCGCCATTCAGAAAAGGCTTTTCTTTTGGTTGTGAGCCAGGCAAAGCTGAGGACTGGAGGCTTAGTCCTAACATCCCTTGGCAAAATGCACCAAAGTACAAGCATGGCCCTTCGTTGCCAGAGGCAAGGCTCGAATTCGCCGTCCTCCGGCAGCGACATCACCCTGGGCACGCAATCCTGCGGCAGCTGCAACGAACTCACTTTGTGAAGGAAGGCGCAGCTGAAATCCAACAATCAGGTCACGGCACCCATCGCCACATCTGCGTAGGCATTCAAAAGTAATCATGCAACAACGTTCACGCATGTGCACACATTCAAGCGCTAGCATGCCTTTGACAGCTGCAGTTTTTCCAGGGCGCTCTCCTCTTCCATTGGCTTGCCACACTTCGACCAGCATTTCTCCTAAGCTCACCCACGATGAAGGCTCCTTGTTGTATTTGGAAATTCCTTGTTTCTTGGAAATGATGGTAATTGTAAACGCTTCGCATTGCCCGCCTCGGCCAGAATGCTTTTGGTTCGAGGTGCTGTGTTTTGGTTTGCCTTGAAGTGTTGTGTTTGTCTGAGTGACTGAGTCGGCGCTGACATGCGTGAGCGAATCCACAGGGCTTGAAGGGCTAGATAGAACGAGAACCGTGGAGTGGGGCCAAGCGAGCTCAACTGCAGCCGGGATTCCCCTTCATAGAGCACACCGGTCCGCAAGTCCTCGCACAAAGGCACCTGACACGGATCGATCGATCCGACCACACCGAGCTCGGGCCCAAAGATTGCCATCCTTTGAGGGCCTCAAGCTCGGCTGCATGCTTCACCATCGGCATTTTGGTGCATTTGGCCCCTTGGAACTTACACATGTAACCATGTATCTGCGCGCCTGTACTGAGTTATTCATCTCTTTGCAGGTTATACAAGCGATCATCTTCTGGGACTAGCCGCTTGATTGTCACCCAGTCTTTGGAAAGTACTGCCGCGACTCTCAAGTGAGGCATGCAAGCATCCCTCTAAAAATGGCAAGCGTGCCAAGGCCATATGCGGGTGTGTCTTTGTTCGAGGGTACGCCTTTTGTTCAAGTTTAATGGGAAACCAAACGGAGGAAGAAAAAAACAACTTAGAATCTTGCAGGGTCCCATGAGAGATTAAAAAAAATGAAACCCAAAGGAAGACCTACCATTTCGGGGTGGCCGCCCATGAAGATGGTGACACGCCGAACCATTCAGCCACGGCCTGCTCTCGCTTCAAGACCTCCTGGGCGAGATGCGGTGGGAGCACATGCGACCAGCGAGCCCTTTGTCCAAGAACCAAGAGGAATGGGTTTTGATCTTTATGTGCGAAAGGGTTTGAAACAGAGTTTCGGGATGGATAAAACAGGCCCTAACCCACCAACAAGAAGAGACCACCTTATCCCCCCGGTCCCAAGGGCAAAGCAGTTGCCCCCGGCCGGCACAAACACGAACCAAAAGGGTGCCAGTTGAACAAACAGAAGAATAAGCCCAGCAAGGGCAGACAGCGAGCGAGAGCAGAGCAGCAGCACCAACACAGGCGAGCGAGCAAAGCAAAGCGAGCAAGCAAGCAAACAATACGCACACTACCAAACCCCAATCCGACCTGCTCCACCCAGAAACCCACCGCAGCCGCACCAGCTCGATCTTTTCCAAGATCGGGATGGCGTGCCGCGCCGCGCGGTTATGAGCGACGAAACAGCGGACAGGAAATGACGTAGTGAAAAGCTTGAGCCAAATGTCGCATTGGACATCGGCATGAAATGACATACGCTATGATAAAGGTACATGCCCCCAAAAACACCCCCCTCGCCTGTACAAAGAGAGGAAGTGAATTTGGAAGGGCGCATTGGCCATGTGGAAGTTGAAAAGCAATGAACAAGAAAAACAAAGCCGATTAGGCTACCAGGGTTCGCGACCCCATACCCGGGCACTCTTTGGTGCCCGGATCCCGCCACCACCCCGAATTACGGGTATGGGGCGGATTCGCGCCGGTAGCCAAATCAAACAAGAGAAAGCAAAAAGAAACAGAAACAAAGATTCAACTCCAGAATGGCAGGCATGAAATAAAAATACATTTGCAATGTAACCACAATGAACCATAAGGTTCAAGTGGATTTAGTTTCTGAATTCATGATTAGGCGCTTTGGCCCACTGGTTGAAACATGGTGCTTCGACCACTAGACCTTGGTCTTTAAAGTAGCACCGTCTAGGCGCGCGATCACGCAACGACCTTCGGCAGGAGTACCACCAGCTGCAATCAGCGGTTCAGGTCCGAGTGGGACCTCACCGGCAGCGGTGCAGCGCATCCGAGATCCTCACCACAGCACCTTGATGGGTTCCATCGCCAGCAGCAGCAGCGGTGCTGGATGAAGCTGACCACCAGCAGCCATAGACGCCGGCGAGGGTAACTGCCTTGCTGTGACGACGCACACCTGACGGGTCATCGCAGCTTGCGCGAATAGCGCACAGCCACGCATGCAATTAAATTCTGGAGTGGCGAATAGCCGAAGCATTGAAATATGGCAAGGAGCATAGTCCTTCCGGAAAAATCTCCGGAATAAAGGCATGCGCGCGTTGGCGCAGTCGTGCAAAAACGCATGGGCAGACTTCAGGTATCACCGATGTCGCCCACCGCCGTGCCGCCCCTTCCCCTTGCTGGCATTCCAGTCCCCAGGGGGAGGAGGCACAGTCTCGGCCAACTCGTCACCGTCACCCCATGTAGGGGTATGCGGCGAGTTCGGATTCTTGAGCTCGCGGGGATCACCCTGCATATGCGACTGCCAACCCTGCGGCATTGCGCCAGGCCACATTTGTGGCATCATGCCAGCCATGTGCTGCTGCATGTACCCTCCCATTGGGAAAGTGGGATACATCGGACTCGGGAACGGGTAAGGGGCAGCCTGTGCACCCTTGAATCCCGACCCGCGAGCATCAGGCTGATACCCGCCAGTGGGAGTTCTCGATCTGGCGGATCCGCCACGACCGAACTGTCCTTGTTGGTAGCCGTATTGGCCACCCTTGCCTTTGTACTGGTCACCCTTGTGACCCTTTCCTGGAAACTGGTCACCCTTGTGACCTCCACCCTTGGGCCAGGACTGCGCAGGGGCTTTGCCCTTTTGCTGATCCCCCTTTGACCTGGATTCAGGTCGCGGGGTAGCAGACCGTTGGTCTCCCTAGGAGTGGCTGCCCGCCTGTGGTGTTTCCCAGCCGGCGGGTCAGCAAAAACAATGGCGCATTGGCCGTCGCGCCGTGCAGCGGGGACCATGTCAACCTTGTTGTCTTCGACATAAATGTATGCCTCAGCATACTCAATTGGGGCCGTGATGGATCCACCACTGGCCCGCAGAGATTCGATGCTCCAATCAAGAACAGTGGAGGCATCAAAACTTGGGTCCTCACTGTTGAAGTCCGCGAGGCGTCGCTCAGCCTGTACCAAAGACATTATGATGTCCGCTCGTGAGGCGCCTAGGCCATACAGCGGAACCAAATATCCGTCCTCAATTCCGATGCGGTAGGCATCAAAAATATGCACGGA